AGCAAACGTGAAGTTCTTTGTAATGGCATAGAAGCCGGCACTTGAACGGTTGGCCTTAATTTTCACCTTGTGGGTGTTTTTGGTTCAACCACAGACAGTCCCCTTGGTACAGGTGCCGACCATACAGGTTTCCCTCAAAGAAAATAAATTGGTTTTCTTTTGAAGAAATTACGGAAGCTGCCAACAAACTTGTGACAATAACCAACCACTAAATCAGTAACTTAATTACATGACTTTTGTTTAATATAGCTTGAGAGAAAAATCCACCGAATAATGGAACTTGTACTTGAAAGTCAAGTTCATAAAATAAATAAATATAAAGTCAAATCCATATAAAGTCTAGATTCAGCCCACGAAAACTCATCAAGGTGGTTAAGAAAGGATCATTTGGAGAAAAAGATTACATGAAATTACAACTTCAATTTATAACTTGTTGACGGAGTCCTTCCTAGACAAGATCCACTTGATCATAATTATCACAACTTCAACATTTATATATTAAGCCCTTAGGGTTAGTCCAAGTGGTGAAGGTGGGTGAGGTGGGAAACGATTTATAATGTTAGGTCAAGAGTTTGATTCTCCTTTGTATTGAGAGTATTCTGTATCAAAGGAACGTTTAGCATAAGAGTTTAAAGGTATTCTGCTCTTCACCCATTGTCAATACTTGTGACAATAACCAACCACTAAATCAGTAACTTACTTACATGACTTTTGTTTAATATAGCTTGAGAGAAAAATCCACCGAATAATGGAACTTGTACTTGAAAGTCAAGTTCATAAAATAAATAAATATAAAGTCAAATCCATATAAAGTCTAGATTCAGCCCACGAAAACTCATCAAGGTGGTTAAGAAAGGATCATTTGGAGAAAAAGATTACATGAAATTACAACTTCAATTTATAACTTGTTGACGGAGTCCTTCCTAGACAAGATCCACTTTATCATAATTATCACAACTTCAACATTTATATATTAAGCTCTTAGGGTTAGTCCAAGTGGTGAAGGTGGGTGAGGTGGGGAAACGATTTATAATGTTAGGTCAAGAGTTTGATTCTCCTTTGTATTGAGAGTATTTTGTATCAAAGGAACGTTTAGCATAAGAGTTTAAAGGTATTCTGCTCTTCACCCATTGTCAATTAGTTTTGAGTTGGATGCTTGCAGTATAATATGATATAAAAGTAGATTATACAAGTGGAAGATCCAACAATACCACATAAATCTCACATCACCCAATAAGATTTAAGTGCAAAAGACGTGTTGAGAGTATCCGGCACATATCCAATGACGAATTAAACATATCTACTTATTGGCAATTGTTTTGGATTGCATATGCTCACGTTATACTACTTGAGCTCAGTCTACAAATTATATATATCGTAAATCTTAAGCAATGAGTCACATAGAGATTTTCAATTGATGTGTCATTGTACCAATAATTTCTGTTAAATCCAAATGAAAGCTAATGTTTTGTCAATTTTTTTTTTATGAGTATGTTGACCATTACTAGCTCATAATTAATTGCTAAAATTAACATGACATACTAATTAATTTACTTCACGTATGTCCACCTACACGTGCATAGTCCGAAATGAGTTCTTCATGTACGCTATCTCTCCCCCTTGAAAGCAAAAAAAATGAAGAAAGTTCATGGATCGATCCCATGGTGGGCTCGAAGTTAGATTTCTGTACACATGAATCCATCTCTCTACACATTTTCACAGACGTCTAATCCGTATTTAAGTGAAGAATCTTATTAGCTCATAAGCTTTGTTTAAGACTAATTAAGCACTAATTATTTGACTATAGCTAATCACTAGTATATATATTAAATTTTAAATACCTTTTGATAGTGCAGGATAGCCGTGGAACTAGAAAAAAAAGAAAAAGAAAAACACTTGGTGTCAAAGCACTCGCTCTCATTTGATGTTACCTGCCTGCAAAAATCATTCCAAATTGATGAGATCATCAAAGCATATATACATAAGATATGATCTTTGCCAAAAAATTTCCCACTAATCAAAGTGTTCGTTTGTGTGTTGCATTTGCGAAAATTTGATTCCCATCTTGTCATCCATATCTTATCAGTTGGAATTTAGTATTAGGGTTTTTATTATTATTAGCTTTCTGTTTCACCACAGAAAAAAGCTATGTGTATGTAAAGCTCCTGGCAAGATCTTCAAATGGGTCACTAAGAAATTTTATGAGGCAATTAAAATAAGATCAAAAGCAGATTAAGATTCATCAAGAGATTAATTACTTATTAATTAATTTTATCTAGAAAACTAGCCCACATGTATATGTAATGAGGATTGGAGAGGGAAGGGAGACAACCTTTTCTTTTCCTTCTCAGCCATGAAGGGTGTGTCTCCTTAACTTTTTAAGCAGTGGTTGTCCAACCATTTTAAACTTATGAATTTACTTAGTACGATAATGGAATATTATGATATGATGACTCGGGCTGACTGTGCATTATGCAGCCAATATTTTGATCTCATTCGTGCAGTGACGCAGTTTAATTTTACCCTTTCTTGCACCTCTCCCTCTCTCAAGGTAATTTGAATTCATGAATCCATGCTTTTTCCACAGTGGAATGAATCATACTCGTACCAAATTATTGGGTTGAAGTATATACTATATCGCATGCTTTCACCTACTTTGAAAACAACCAGCAGAGGCAGAGACATAAGATAAAGAAACAAGTTGGGTTAATATGAATTTGACTTATATTTGTTTGCATTAGAGATTGAAATCACTTGCCATTAAGCTTTAATGACCAAACCAACCATCGGCCCTAGCTTCCCACTGGTTTCTCGGTCTTCAAGGTTGAGAGTACTATTTCTAGAGAGGAACCATACATATTTTCAGATTCAGATCACACTAATTCATTAAGTAATAACCAGGAAGTTAATGTATTTAGTGACGGAGCGCATGCCTTAAGTTAAGATGCTCTGTGTCCATGCCTAAGTTTTATGCATCCGGTGATGCCCTTCCACCCATTTGTCATGACAAAGAGCAAGGGTAAACAATGGCGGGTACTGTTCACATGAATAGTTCTTGCTTTAGCAATTTATTTTTTGCTTTCCCACGTATTACACAAAAATTGGTTTGACGTTAGCGCTGGCATCAGCGCCTTCAGGCAACAGCACAGGCTAGTCTTGCCTTTGGGCTCGCCAAGTTTTGATGGAGCCCACTCTTGCTCGAGCTATATTTGTTTGGTGTGGAGGGGTTTTTTTTTTTTTTTTTTTTTCCAGCCGAGGCCCCCTTTTGCCATGGTAAGGCAAATGAGTGGAAGTGCTCTTAAGGTGATCTGCATGTATGTTTAAGTTTAAGGTGGCCAAGACCCTCACAATATCGATCTACTTACATGTGATTATGCAATTTAAAAAGCAAAATACAAATAAAATTTCAAACTCCAGTTCTCGATGTTTTTCTTTTCAATCAATAGGGGATGATAGATTTTTATTTTAAATTTTTTAAATTTTAAAAAGGTTATGATATTCTAAACTACGACTTTAATTTACGGGGAGCAAAATTTGAACTCGACTATGCAGGTACACTGCCCCCAACTCGATGATTCTAACATGCTACATTTTTCAACATCATTAGAAAGAGAATACCACTACAACAAGAGTTAGTTGTTAATCCCATTTTGATCATAGTAATTAATTATGCAATAAGTAACATAGTTATCTAACATCATCTAAAATGATGTTAATTTCTTTTTGTAATAATTATATTCTTCTTGTTTGGTTTGTGGCATGTCCTTTGTTGTTAAATAGTAAAAAAAAATACCAACAGGAGTTGGTCCAAGTGGAAGGGGCTTGGATCCTTTAAACAAGAGGTCCTGGGTTCGATCCCAGGCGCTTGCGAATGAGCAGACTTTGTTGGGAGAGGTCCCCGCTTTGCGCCCAACAGTACCTCGAGGGTTAGTCCCCGCAATCGCGTGGGGGATACCTTGGTTTTCACCAAAAAAAAAAATAGTAAAAAAAATCAATAAGATAAAATTTGGTGTACCAAAGCATTAAGATAGCATAAAAATCATGGCTCTCTGAGTAACTTCCTCCATATACAAGATAACAAAAATGACCAGAATTTAACTGACCTAGACAAGTACGTAGCAACATATTTTTCGTTTTATCATATTTCCTTCAACTCGGAGGTTGACATGACATGCATATACCGCATATATATCATATCATAAAAGTAAAGTATTAGTGAATCGATCGGCTTGTAATTCCTCACTTAAAACTCTCCGTATATAATATGTACGTACCTTTGTACTTGATTAAGATCATATGAATTCACTAAGTAATGAATTATTTTCCTTAAATTGATTTTAAATATTTGGAAGCTATCTATTATTTTTCAGAATTTTTTTAATCGATCCAAATTGTTTATTTTTCAAGTATTCATTCATAGATCATTCTTCTAAAATATCATGCGAATTGAAAATCATTAAGGCATCTAGTTTGGACCAACAAAATAGACAAACAAGGTGCTTCAATAAAAGACTTAAATAACAACCATCTAATTGAGTGGTCAAATGGTTTCGGATTCAATTTTTTTTTTTTTTTGCATAGATGATCTTTGAGAGAATATCTAAAAACTAGATAATTCGGATCATTAAAATACAATATGGGTTGTCCCTCAAATGAGCCTCAACCTCACTTAACTTTCATTTAGTTGGTTTTAAAATATAATTACTTTTATTAATTTGAAATATAAATTGAATCTGTTGGAATCCAGTATGAGTTTCCCACATTAATCTGTGAAGAATTTATATTCTCTATATAAAAGCTTTTATATACGAGGCGGGAAAAAGAAGAAAAAAAAAAGGGAGACAAAATATATTATTGTTGTGGGGCTAAAGATCTTATCAAAAACGATGTTTTGTCCAACAAAATCTAGGGGTTCGTCTTTTATGGGACCCCCCAAAGATTTTCTGTCACTTTGCACTTGTCTATATAACCTCCACCACGCCTTCACCTCAAGTCCCCTTCCCTCCCTCTCTCTCTCAACACCCTGCAAATTAAATTTGGCCAATTATATACCTTGTTTTCTTTCAATTTTTCAGTTAATAGCTCCCTGAAATTGTAATTAAGCTTTTAGCTTTTGAAAGAACAAAAAACAGAGCTGGGAAAATGAAGGAGAGTGGCAGAAAACAAGGTGCTATGTCTCCATGCGCAGCATGCAAGCTTCTGAGAAGGAGATGTGCGCAGGATTGCGTGTTTGCTCCTTATTTTCCAGCTGACGAGCCCCAGAAGTTTGCCAGTGTGCACAAGGTTTTTGGTGCCAGCAATGTCAACAAAATGCTACAGGTTCATTTCTGTCACTATGCATCTCTCTCTCTCTCTCTCTCTCTAACATTATTCTTTAGGGTTCTGTTATTACTACATACATACATCACATATTATGTTGTCAAATTTTCAAAATAAACGGGCGTGCATTCAAAGTATGACAGTCTACCTAAAAGTATGCTCAGTACACCGTCTAATTAAAAATATGACAATATAATATTTCAAATTACCATGTGAAATAATATTTCTATTGTTTTATATATAAGTCCTTTTCAAAATATAAATATTGGAATTGTGACCTTTGAGTAGTTAAAAAAGTCTCAAATAACCAAGCAGATACCCAATCAATCCTTTTATGAACATTATTTGAGAATGCTTTGAGGACTACCCCTTGTTTCTTTTCTTGGAGTGATTATAGAATACTACAGTAGTATAGCTACATGGTACATCTTGTACACATGTTATAATATAAGTGGATATATTTATTGATACTATTCCCTAAAAAATGAGAAAATAATAAACCTTGTCGTCCACTCATATTATAACATGCGTACAAAATGTACCACGTGACCAAACTATCGTAATATTTTATAATTTCTCATGTTGTTGGCCGTCAACTTCAAATAAAATAAGTGACTTGAGAGGGATATTGCAACATTTCCTTTTGATTAATTTCTTGTTACTGTCATCACAACTGTTGTAGCATGTGGTGTGACTATGAGGATTAAACTTTAGCAAATAGACCCAAAAAGCTTAAGATAGAGAAAGGTTATTAGTTTATTGGTTTTGGGAGGAAAAAACAATCTTTGAGTTGTTAGCTATACATTAACCAAGTTTGTATAATGAGGTGGTTGCTTCTAGCTACCATCTACAAAAAAAAAAAAGATTTAAGGCACTTTGATATTCTATTTAGCTTTGTTTTGTTGAGATCTTATAATGATGAAACCCATTATAGGTAATTAGCAAGAGGGAAAAAGCATGCATCTTTCTTTTCTATCACTCAAAATGAAGGCCATGCATGCTAGAAGGATCATTATTATATATGTCATCTCTATGCATGCAAATGAATATTGAGTAGTGGATAGAACTACATATGTATTCCTCATTAGGCAGAGAAGAAACTTTTTAGGGTTCTTTTGCTATTCATGCTATGCCTTTGTAAATCTTTTTCAAAGAATTTGATACTTTGTTACTATTTTAGGAAGAAAATATTCAAAAAAGCTGAAAAGTGTTCTTCCATTTCTTCCCCCCACCTTTACTTCAGTTATAGTAGTTAAAAACAGTTGAAGACCACCGGTCGTAGATAAGAACATTACTCATCCTTCTTTTAAAAAAGTAGTATATATATATATCAAATTACTGATTCGTTTGTACTTAAATGAAAGAAAATCAGGGGTTAATTGTAAATCGATCGGAATGCTAATTACTTCTCGATCAAGTTACGTATACACGAGTATAAAGGATAAGGGAATTGAGTGGTTTCCGAGGAATTTAGTTATAATCTTGTGTTTATCTTCAACTTTTATGATCATTAAGTTGCTTTTTTTTCTGGAAATGAGGCTGATTTAAGGTTTTGGTCCTCAAATTCGAAACCTTTATGTACACTTAGAAAAAGAAAGTCGGATGTCTGCTTATGCATTCTCTTTGCCTTTTGCTTTTATGATTATGGGTTACAATGTTGGTATAAAGACAAAGAGGGTTTACATATACGTCCAAAAAAATGTTGATCCCAAGTAAGCGTAAAAAGTTCTTGAATATTTGTAATATTTCAATAAATTTAGCAAAATAAATATGACAACATCATGACGTCACGATGACACACACACACACATATATATATATAAAATATGATGGCCATCTTGTAAATTCCAATTCTTTCAATTAGTTAGATTGGATGCATGTTTTTGTTTTCAGTAAAAGAGATTTATTATTTATTTTTATATTTAAATACTTGTGCTTAATTTCTTTTTCTTTCTTTTCCTTTCTAATCTCTCGTTATTAATTTGAAGTTGGCAACGTTGATGTCAATCAATTAATGTTGACAATTGTCAAACCAAAAGCCTCGATGAGGAGAGGAATCAAAATGTGAAAGACTGGAAAGCTTATTCCATGCATGAACCTAAATCAAACATCATATTCACACATCATATAAAAGGCACCAAGCTAAGTAAGATATAAGATGGGTGGCCCTACTAATTGCATAACGAGGCTCTCTCGGAGTACTTGTTGAAATTTTTATTCGAGTTAAGTCCGAGAAAATATCAGTAGTAGAAAGAGAAATAAATTATCTACGCACGTCCTGGGAAGTAAAATTATTATTATTATTTTGTCCATATGAAACAGAATTGTTGATTATGATGCATTTGGAGTGGGAAAATAGCTCCACCACTTTGGTTGGTGTCTTTTGTTGAAATTCTTCTACATCTTGATGCTCATAATTAAGATAACTTTTGATTTTTCTTTTTGCAAACTTTGTTTTTCCCAAGAAAATTAAAGCAAATTCTTCTTCTTTCTTTTTCATTTTCTCAAGTTCTTTATCGAGATTAAGTTTCATTGACATAATAATTAATGGATATAATTAACTAGGAATTACCAGAGCACCAGCGCAGTGATGCAGTGAGCTCCATGGTGTATGAAGCAAATGCCAGAGTGAGGGATCCAGTGTATGGCTGTGTAGGAGCAATCTCATCTTTACAACAACAAATCGATGCCCTCCAAACCCAATTGGCCATTGCTCAAGCTGAGGTGGTGCACATGAGAATGGGCCAATTCTCAACTTCATCAGCAACATCCAATGCTGCCACCACCACCACTTGTTCACCTGATCAAAAATCAACGGCTCCTAATCATTCTCATCATCATAATCATCAGACTACCAAATCCTTTTTTACCATGGACATGGTGGTTGATCAGGCCAATATGGGAGAGTCTTTGTGGTCATGTTAGCTACCTACCTTAATTTGCATGCTAGCTACCACTTTAATTATTATATATCTGTTGTTTTCTAATACGTAATTAGTACATGGGCTTGCTTTAGTGTCTGCCTCTTTAATTATTACCTTTTTTTTAAAATTTTCCTTTTACTTTCTTAGTGCATCTCCCTGTCTCTCTACTTGACTAGGGATGATGATGATTAATGAATTAACCATATTGTAAATGTGTACTAATTACTTTATGCAAGTATATATACGACATTAATTATAATATTGTTACTATGAGCTGCTTGCTTGATTTTCCTTTTTTAATCAACACTACCTTGTATTAATTTGATTATTCTCTCCGTAAGCTTCTCGTCTGGCTTAGGCCATTGAGAAAGTTTTATCAATGTCTGCTATATTGTTATTGGGATGATTCCCTTTACAGTCCGTGTCCTTTGTATTCCTTATTCATATTTGTCTCAAATTTTTTGATTATTCTCTGCAGAAACTTCCTCAAAACATTTCTTTCAAAAGGAAAAGAAAAAAAAAAGGAGAGAGAGAGAGAGAGAGATTTATGCTAGTCATGTCATACTCAATTCCTACACATATATCATCAATCACCACCACCTTATGCTTTGGCCATATGGAAAGAATAGAAATGAAGCTGTAGATGATGGTTTTTCTTATTATTATTTATTGATAGAAAAAAGTTTGCTGGTTATTATAGTAAATTCACTACAGATATACATATGCCATGCTCTGTACCTGCTGCAGCATCTAGAAATTAATTAATTAATTATATTACTTAACAGTTTATAAACTAATTAATCATCCTGTTTAATATTAGTAAGCATGCAAACCAATATTGTCTTTTCTGATGTGAGTTTGTGTGTGTATATATGTAGTTGGTTTCTATTGCGGAATCTTATAGGAGCATCCCCACCCCTCATAAATTCGAGGTGAGATGACTAGAGCTCTCTTTATTTCATTGTCGAAACCAAATATGTTAGTTAAACGACCCACTTCAGCTACCCCACTCCCCCAAAATTATAAATTTTAATACAGTGTGTGAAAAGAACATCACAACTACATCTCCACATGAAGACACACAGTACAAGGAAGTCGTGGGAGCACAAAATCTCCACACTAACACCAGAGTAGATCCACATTAGGGCCGGCGAACTCGATTGCCCCTACTCCCCATTGTCTCTATACGTGAAATTACCCGATGTTCTCGTTGATTAGATATGGCTATGATCATGAGGCAAGATGTTCAACAAAATACCTCGAAGAGGTTGGCTAAGGGCAACTGGGCAAAGTGGCACGTAGCCTTCACCTTGCCCCTGCAAAGAAAAGTTTCTGAATCCGCTACTGTGTACATACATCGATACGTATACACACACGGATTATACATCACAAGATGTGCATGAATTTCAATTTTCAATTTTCACATCAAAGTCACAATTTGAGCAAGAATATCAAGCCCGATGTATCCAGGTGGGTTTAAGCCTCAAAACATCATCCAGCTACCTTAAGATTACACGTGACCCAACTCTACTCAGCCCATGTCCAAGTCCAGTTAGCTGCTAGTTTAACAAATTCTTGTATTTTACTTTTTTGGAATGAACTGCAACTTTTTTGGTGAAGTTTTTGCTGTTATTGATGGCAAATTGGAAAAAATGTACACCCTTGACGGCCACGAACACCGAGGTTGTTATATGCATAATCTAAGATGTGGTTACTAATTAAGATCCTCCTCGTATACACAGTCTCCATATTAATCATGAGGCTTTAGAAACAAAGCCTTCACTTACTTGATCAGTCTAAAACAGAGCGCGCACACAATTTTGCCCAATTCATTGTTATTTTCAACCCATTATATTTGCATTAGGGCATCATCATACATATTTTAAGAATGTAAAATTTAGCACGGGGTTTGTAGCTTAATTAGTTAAGAGCAGTTAATCTTGCACCCGAAGTTGTGTGTTTGAATCTCCCTTCCCTAATATTGCTCGTAAAATTTGAGGGTATTTCTCCAACCACACAAACTTGAAGTATATATATCAAATTGACTTAATATCCAAGGAACTATACAGCCTTACATTTCACATATTCATCAAACCCCATTAGTCCCTCCTAGACCAAGACCCTCTAATAAGAGTCCAAGAGGCTGTGCACTCAGTAATAATTAGGCAAGTTGGGTTTTGAGGGGACAAAATAATGACAAACTTGGAAAAATATGCACTCATCAAGATAAGACATCTTTCATAGACTAGCGCTGATCACTTGAAAATAAATAAGTATGAGCATCTTTCACAGACACCTTTTATATATATATCCTAGTGCAATTTTCTTTTCCACTTTCTAGTGCTGGACGTTGTTGTTACATTTGATATAATTGGGACATCAAAATCATATACTTGGAATCCAAACTTGACTAAACACAGTTGAAACTTGAAACACAAAATTCGAGGCTCTCATGTAGCATCAATAGCCTCACCGAAAGAAGCAACAAAAAAGCCTCACATGCAGTATATATTTCTATCATGCCGTGAGAGATCAGGAGTAGCAAAATAATACTATCTCCATTTTACACAAGTGTTTCTCCTCATGTAGCATAAATAGCCTCACCAAAAAGAAGTAACAAAAAAGCCTCATCACCTGCAGTAATTTCTATCATTTGCCTCCACAAATTCTGCATGAACTTGTGGTCCTCAAACTCAGATTAGTTTTAGCTAGCGCAAACACACACACACACAAATTTGGTCAACCAATACATTGTTCCCTAGCAATCCCATGGGGCCTGAGCTTGCAGTTGTTGCAATTGTGGCCTCTTGCTAGTCTTGTGGGTCATCCATGGTGGCTGGCTGGGTTGTCCATGATCACCGACATATCTTACTTGATGATAATGAGATTGAACTCAGTCTGGACTTGATCCAGGGAATCCCACTGAAATAGTAGTTTAGCTTTATCGATTCCATTGATTCTATTGGCTTGAACCCACTAACACTACTCTTTACCCTTCCCTCCCCTTCAAAGGGCAGACAATGATTTTGATCAATTTTCATTTATAGTGCTTGATTTGGATTTCTTTGCTCTTGTCATTTTCAGAGCTAGGCATATCTGAGGAAAATAAACACTCCAATGGTTCCGTATATATATCATATATGTAATTGTTGTCTATGCACAATACACCTCTGATTAGAGTGTTGAAATACTTGTGGCCTTACCAAACACGCAAATTGTGATACCACGTCCAATTCAAAATCTCAAGACTTACTTTATATATATATATAGTGATGACAAATTAAAAATGCACCAAAGGGATCCACTACTCCTCCAAAAGGAGGATCATGTTTCCACCAAAATAATCATGTTTGCATCCAATTGTTTGCTCAAAAAACGTACTGTTAATGTGAATTATTTAATTGTCACTAGGTTTAAGCCTCAATGAAAGTCATATTGCAATGGGGTCACCTTATGAACATGATAATGTTTCAGAGACTTTGGGGCTAGTATATAGTAGTGCGTTCTTACGATTGTAAGAATGCTTGCTTGTGACACTCCATTTCCCCCTTTTTTTTTAATTTCTATTTTTTACTTATCCCCAATTCCTTTTTTAGAGAAAGATGTGAAGTGTGAACAAACTAGCTGAAAAGACTCAATTTCTTTCCTGTTGCGTTGTCATAGACTTTAAATTCATTAGGAAACTCCCCCTAATTAATATTGAATAGAAAATGCATATATGGGTTTAGTCAAGTTGGCTAGAACGGATGTGTTCCCCACTCTGCATCTGAGTTTGAAATCCCTACCCTGTAATTTAGATGAGACTAATTAGAATATCGTTTGTAAAAAAAATTAAAAAAATTGAATAGAAAACAAAAGAAAAGAAAAAAAAGAAAAAAAGAGTTCCATAGGAGTTGGCCCTCTCTTCCTTCCCTTGTTTGACTTCCCTGCCTTTAGATGCCGGGGCCAAAGCATTCATCACTTCTAGTCAACCCATATCTATGAAGGGTACCTTTTCAATTTAGTTATTTTTCTCCTCTCTTTTGCTGGAAAAATGTTTTCCAGCCCACTTTGGAGTAAGGGAGAGAGATAGAGAACGAGAAGAGTCCAAGAAGTACAAAATCTTTGTTTTCAAGATTCAAAATAAAAATTATAGAGGTGCAAAAGATATAGGTGAGGGTCAAACAGCAAATCTAATCGTGTCGGGGATTTTGGTTTATTATTAGGAATTTTGGGTTTTTATTGGATAACGGGTAGTTTTGAATTTCGAGATTTATTTAAGATATTTAATAACTTTGTTTATAATAATGAGGTTAATTTTTGATTTGTTACCCTAAATCCTAAAATAAAGGACTTCTAACCATCTTCTTACCCTAGAATTAACATAAAGGACTCCTTGTTTTGACTGTATCTTACTATATATGTATCATTTGATAACCCAATCAAATCTCTGTAAGTGTAACTAATCCCTACCCTTCCCTTCTTTTTTTTCTTTGGTTTTTCTAGAATAATATATCCAAGCTTGGGACATGTGTACAAGCAGTTGTGGCGGGTTACTGATAGTTGCAGCATGGCCCCACACTTCATGGGCGAGTTTTTAGGCGTGGAAAACTCCCACTAAGTATGCCGACATGCTAGGGAGGCATCAGTAAGGCCATGAGCAGTTTTAGCAAGTTGCATGCATGAGATGGCAAAGTATGGTGCTGCCAGCAAATCCTAACGGTTGGGGGTGTCAACCGCATGCTTATGTGTTGGCTGCTGAGTGGTGCAGCAAAGCATAGCAGTTGGGGGTTGTCCTCTGCACGTTTTATGAGAATTAATACAAGGTTTGGAGTGAGTTCCAGTAAAGTTTGCGTTTGATTACTTGATAGCAAGTTTTCTTGAGTGTGTGAGAGTTGTCACTTATTTCTCTACGTAAAAGAGAGCTTCAAGTATGAACAGGTGTGTGTGGGATGATCTTAGAAGGTGTCTAAGAGCCAAGAAAGGGCAGAAAAATTAAAGACGTTTTTCACCCCTGTTATAGTAGGTTAACAAATTATTTGGGTGGGTTGAAATCCATTTCACAACTTGTTTAACAAATTATTATACATTTCACATGTTTAAGAGGATACATAGTTCAAATCGAGATTAGAATTTAGAATGATGAGGAGATCGACTTTGGTTGAGGGTATTTATTTGGGTGGGTTGAAATTCACAACCCTAGGGTGCATGATGGAATAGAACATAATTTGTCAATATATGCAGCCACATATTTATTATTAATAATAAAAATTAAAAATTAAATAGTAAACGTGTCAAATAGGTCATTTCACAGGTTGACGGGTTGATCATAAACCCACCGTTAATTAGACATGTCATAGCAGTTTGACCCAAATTTGACCCGTAATTTTAATCGTGCAGGTTGACCCGCTAATTTCCAGTGCAGATTTCGAGTCGTGTATAAGGTCGTAATGAGTGTGGACAATCACTTTCCATGCATCAGAATGCATCTTAATCATCTTTTACGGCGGTGCTGGGCAAGTTGACCTAAATGCCAGGGCATCATGATTTTGTATTTTCTTCTTGTTAGCTTCCAGATCGATGAGAATATATTATATATATGACTAACACATCCCAAGGTGAATGACCAGAAGCCCTATATAGTGAACGTGATGATCATAATTCATTTTGAGATTTGGTGGGGAATATTATCATGATAATAACACCACTACTAAAAGCTCTAACTAGGTGAAGTTGATAGTTAAAAGAAAGTGGTTGAGGCCGCAATCAATACAGGCCTTGCAAATGTACTAGCTAAGTCCTAGCTACTATTCTAAACTTTCTTCGCCAATATTATACCAAAGGGATTTCATAGTTTTATAATATATGTGGCATGCATGCATCCTGAAGAAATTTCTCATGTGCGGACGACTGTCTGTAACACAACTCTTATAATATGAAATTCCTTAATTATTAGAAATTTTCACGTACGAATGACTATCTGTATGTGTTTGAGGTAATTAAATTGATGAAAAGCTCATAATTATAAAAGAATTGTTCCATATATAGTTTCATTATATGTTGACCAAATTTCAACCAGTATTTTCTCAAGTGAAAATTCTTGATGCCCCTTACGCGAGTTTGATTACTTGGAGCCAAACCTTATCTCTAGTCATTTCTTGAGTTCTTTATGGTCTGGGATTTGGCTTTTTATCCATTGTTTAAAATAAAAAATTCGGATTAATCAAACTGCAAGTCATCATCCCATTGGATTAACACGAAAGTTGATTTCATATGTCATTTCATTAGAAGCCTGTTGGAGTGTGTGTCGGGCATAAATATAGCGAAGAATCATTTTAGATAAATGGTGAAGGATAAAAAGAAACCTTAATTATTCTTTGATCAAATCACAAACCCTCTCCTAATTACAAACACCCTAGCTATACGTATACGTAGATACGCATTAAAACCAATGCACCAATTAATTTTACGAGTAGAAAAGACTAATTAGCTAGCTTGTTAGATCATATACTTGTACAATACAAGCGTGCCGTACGTACGTCTTAAACCCTCTCATTTCATTTCAATTAGACTATATAATATAGTTGATTAAGCAGCTAATTAAACTGCACCATATGATCAGCTGGTAGCATATGGTAAGTACATTAGACCCATAGCCTCTTGCAGCCAGTAGTCGTCCTCGTCATATTTCATCATCTGTAAATTAAACGATGTACATGATTCAATATATTAAACTGCACCATATGATCAGCTGGTAGCATATGGTAAGTACATTAGACCCATAGCCTCTTGCAGCCAGTAGTCGTCCTCATCATATTTCATCATCTGTAAATTAAACGATGTACATGATTCAATAATGTCAAAATGATTTCATAATAAGTAGCTAGATGATTGTACTTTAATTTATGCCTGGATTAATTTGCATGCACAAACCTGGACTGCATCATTACTACAACACATTTCTGATCTCTGATCTTTGCAAGTATGATTGCTGTCAATCTTTTTTGCTGCTATTTCTTGATCACTTAGTTCAGTGTTCCTTGCAAATCTCCCACGAACTCGGACCCTTCTATCAGCTAGGGTTTTGCGACAAGCATACTGTACATATACATAGCCAATGAACACAATTAATGAATTTCTCAAACGTCGTAGATGCATATAGGATGGTTATATTGTAAGGTACTATAAACCTGAATCATTAATTATATTGTTTTTTTCGCTTAAATGTGTAGTTCAGACTTACAGTGTGACAAGAGAATGTTAGCGATATGTATTTTATAGATTTAGATTGATGAACAATAACCTATAGCAAAATGGTTGTAAATGTTCAAGTATATCGTGTGGATGAGAAAGAAACCTTGATGGTTTTGTTGAAGTTCCTTTGGTTCCTTTTCTTCAAATATCTGCCAATCCTTTCTTTCCTTTCTTCTTCTGAATACCTTCCCACCTTCATATTAGACTGATCTTGATCAATTGTAGGCACCTGCTGGTTCCCTTGAATTCCCTGCACACAAAATTGTACTTAATTAACAATCAATATATCTTGATGAAAATTAATTAACCATATGCACAACACCTTTGCATCCTATACTAAATGATCAAACGCAATACCAAAGAGCTATCTAAAAATAGCTTACCCAATTTTCTTGGCCAGCAAGGCCAAACGGCTTGATATCTGACATGTTGAGACCAGTACAACATTCCTCCCCAAACTGATCACACATATATGGTTGGCTAATTTCTCCCCCAAAATTCTGATTAATCCCTGCAAGTCCATGCAGCCCCATATTCCCATAATCTGAAAATGCAGCTGCAGCAGGCACAGAAAGATCCTCCGAAATCCCAAGTAGCTCTGGGAACGAAGCCGCCATAACAGACGAAGAGATGTCGGATTCCGGTGACACCACATCAAAATTTACTGCAGCACTACTAACATTACAAAATGGCACCAAGTTTTCTTCACAAGTAGCACCCCACATTGCTCCACTGAAAACCGAACCACAGCCATTTTCTCCGGCCATTTCCGGAGTTGGGTAGCCGTAAAAACCACAAGGGAGTGAATAGTCATTGTAGAATTGATGAGGAAGGGAATCCATGGACAAGAGAGAGCTAAAGCTAGCTGGTGGGGGCTAAGGAACTGGTTGTGGGTCAGTTATGTTATGTGGCACTTTGTGTTAGTGAGGCTTGAATATATATAGCAATAGGGATAGTGCACTGGCTTTTAGCCTTTTAGGCAAGTTGTTCTACCCGTCCTGTTTCGGGCAACTGACTGGGGTGGCGTTTCTTAGACAAAAATAGCTAAGTCGAGCTAATTAACATAGCTAACACAACTAACTGTCACACTGCAGCGTAGTGCTTTGTGAGGCTGTAAACGCGTAAATATTTGTTGTTAAACTTTTTAAGTTTGTATATGTATTTTTGTTAAGACTGGTTTCTAGCTAGTGTGTGTTATTAAATAGTTGAGCTTGTATGCGTTCTTTCTAGAAACTTGGTTTAAGAGAGTTTTCAAATACAATCTTACCAAAACTAGCATGCATGCCATGTACTATAGGATGTCGTTTTCAGCAATAAGGAGCGGATTACAAAATTAATTACACAAACTAAGAAGATTACCAAAATTAATTATTTTATAAGGGTCAAAAAAGGATGTTGAAAGAAGCATATATATGATATAAAGTGAGTAAATATGAATCTGGGCAAGGCAAAATAAAAGGTGGGCTAAAGAGACCTGAAAAAGAGAATAGAGGGCCTCATGTGAATACTATTCTTATACTGTTTAAAGCTGCCTGTACACCCACAAGTACTAGCCTAGTATGTAGGCCAAGAATCTAACACATGGGCTTGTATTATATGATTTTGCTTCAACAAATCAAGTACAACATATATGCCTCAAACTTTGGTAAAAAACATTGGTCTAATCCAATACAGAGTCGGTTAAATGACAAATATACCGTCTGTAGTTATTTTTTTCTTTTTCCCAAAGTTAGAAGGGAGGAGGGGTTTTTCTCACACACATACACAACCAAAGTGTCATGAGAGTTCGAACTTGAAACAATTAATCTGCAAATCAAAACCATTTTACACTAGGCTAGATTCCGTTGTCGAATGCCTCTCTAGCTAGGTAGTACGAATATATGTGTAGTGCGCAAGGACAAATGGCCCTCGTAGTTAGGAAGCTGCTTAGTTTAATATGCATGGGCATGGAACATGTCCTGCTCATGATCACATATATGGGAAGGTTCTTATAGTTTTTCTATTTCTTGTTTTGGGTAAACAATTCTTTAGCATTTGCATGTGAATACGTACGCGACTAGGTTTTCTAGAATTTATCCCCTGTAAAATGGCAGAAATTTATTGCTCCTTATATAAACGATGAGAAAGGAATATATATATATATATATATATATACTGGAGAATTTATAAAGATGGCTGGCCCCATTTTAGCTGTGCAACAACGCCAAGGTCCACATTGGATTGGAGGAATTATTGGTTTAAGGTTTAAAAATGAAAAGTGCGGCCAATCCTACCAATGCTAATACAAATTATGTGTTCCAGAAGTGTCTTAGTTTAGTAGAGGATAGAGATTGCATGATATTTACTATCTCATCATTTTCAGCCACAAATGCTCGTCACCCACCTTCTCTTGTCTTCACTGTGTTCAAAGTAGATGAGTTTTAATTGGATTGATTCTTATGATTTTTTTATTGGATTGATTCTTATGATTTTTTTATTGGATTGATTCTTATGATTTTTTGATTGGATTGAATTGGGTTTTTAATTGTAAAAGTCAAAATTTTATATAGACTTAACAATGTTAACTTAGCCGTTAACTTGGAATTTGACTTGTCATACCTTAAGTTGTTAGATTATTGGAACAGTCAAGATGTAATGAAATGCAGGTAAATGCATGATTGTTAAATGCAAAGGCTCAGGATCCCAAATAGATTATTGATTCTTATGATTTTTTGATTGGATTGGATTGGTTTTTTAATTGTAAAATCCAAAAGAGGAATAATATATCAAAATTAACCCTTCGAACCCAACCAATCTAAACCGTACACCATGTAGTTTCTTCTGAATTGACTAACTTACTTACCAGCCCACGAGCACCATTAGAAGCACCCATATTCAAAGTATTTATGATAAGTTAATTTATTCCTATGTTGTTGGAACTTGGAAGCTAAGCTATAAAACTAATAAGAAAGAAAGGAAAAAGATTTACAAAAAGGAATAGAAATTCCAAAAAGTTTCAAATGACACACGCCATGTATAGCTTTTTTTGGTTGGGCAAAGCCATGAATAACTTAATAGGGACGTAACTACCTTTTCAGATTCACCCCACAATATAATTTTATGATGTAGTCATAAATCAGCCAAAACCAACTTGAAGTAATCGATAAAAACACTATAAAAAAAATAAACAGTTCGGATCATGAAATGATATTGTATGATGAGTCTCAGAAAAATGGTTCGCGTCGTATTAATTACACATTATAAATAGTGATTTTACAGCATCCATGCATGTATTACATGACTTTTAAACATTTGGCAAGGGAAGGGGTGATGGTGGTGAAATTTAGAGCAGAAATGAAGCACTTTTGTTATCTCTTCTGTTTTATTCTTCTGAGAGTTCTGTTTAAAAAAAAAAAAGGAGGGTATCTGGTTCAAAATGATTTCTTAAGGTGGTTTTGCACAATCTTTTGTTATCTTTGAAAGATTCCTGGCTTTACTTCCTTTCATACCAACTCCAGTATCAATTAAAATATTTAGATAATTCAAAAGGGCTCACAAGTTGGGGACCTGTTTTATCTTGAAACTAAGGTGAGGGAGCATTTTTGGGTACACTTCATGTGTGCAAAATTTATCTCTAGCACAGGCTATTTGCCACAAAAAGTAAAAATTGAGATAGAATTGAAGATTTTGTAGGCTAGTACATAGCATCAGGTCCTCTGGTAAACCTGCCCATCCCATCAACCAGCCAGCCAGCCATCTATAGCCTCTCCCCTAAAACCCACTTGCATGTGAAAACCTGTTCCTCACTTCTGTTCTTTTCACCTTGTCGAAGAGAGAATGAAATCCAAAACAGTATTGTCTAAAATCTAAACAGATATATATGATCTTAAGCCAACCCCTTATTTTCTATGCTAATGGTACATATCCAAATTTGTATGTTTTTTTTAATTTTTTTCTGGTAATATATGCGGATTTGATATGTGCCAGTCCTCGAACTTAAGACCTGCTGGATCCGGCTGTTTTATTTATTTATTATTGTTTGTGTAGCACAACTCTTACAAATTAAAGAGAAAGCTATAACTTAAAAGCTATCTTATCTTGAGTTTTCGAAAAGCTAATTTCTATTTAATTTTAGGAAATTACAAGTTGGTCCAACGAGGCATCTAAAGAAGATTAACTTTATGATCTATCTTAGTAAAATCGAAAGAAGATTAATTAGCAATCATTTACCACTTGTATCAAAAGAAGATGGGATTATTAAGATATTAACAATGATTAGCAATCATGCAGAAGATATTTGAGTTACCAAAAAAAACCAAAAGAAGAAAAAAGAACAAGAACTAAAAAGATGAGATTTAATTGGCCAATTGGACCCTGGTCGTCCAACATGACATGTTCATGTTGATACAACGTGCATGTTGCTTGGAAAAATGAATCTAGGCAGATTTTTGGAGCATAAGATCACCACAGCATTTTTTTGTGTTTCCCATCATTTACCATTCAAGATTTATTCTTGGTTCCATTTTGTTTCTATTTGCCAAGTCCAGATCCACCTGCACAGATTTGTCCAGACTTTACCAAACAGGCCAATCCTCTTCCAGGCTACGCATGGCCTCCTTCGTACAAATGCCACCACATTTTCTTCTTCTTCATATTCCTTTGAAAGATATGCTTCAAACCAGAAGATATGAAAAGAGAGGAGGCTTGGTTTTCAGTCAATCAATAGGAATACAAATGTACTTTGGTCAAACTTGAAATCTTCTTTGTTTTTTGGTCGGGAAGAAAATTTGAAATCAATTCAATGACTAGACATTAATGAAGCCAACAACAGGTAGAGCAAGTAGGCTTGATTTTCATTTCCCATGTAATTTCTGATATTTGTTTCAAATCCAAAAATACTTCTGAATGCAGATGGGAAAAAGATATCTCGTAAATCTCGGATCATAAGATTAACTCGAGCAAGAAAAAAATTAACATTCACTTATCACAACGATGGCAAAATATGAATTTGAGAGAACCATTCAAATCTGATTGCAAAAAAACACAATGTGCAAGGCAGACAAAAAATATGTGTGTAAGTAAGATGCTATGTTCTTGAGAAATCAGATATAATCCAAAGGTCACTACAGCTGTTCAAAGACACAAAAAAACATAGGAGATTCTTTCCTGGTTTCTGTACACATTGATTAGGGACCATATGTTCTACACTGATCATCATTCCAGCCGATAGTTGCTAACTATTCAATATATACACATATATTGAACAAAACAGAGACTAAACTTGCACGGTAGATGAAATATTTATTTTGTTTATCATAGTAGACGAACTAATTTATATATTAAAAAAACCCACAGAAACTACATAGATATTGCAATTTAAAAAGAAAAATCTAATCTTGTCTATAGGTGGTCTAAAACTAAATAGGGAGTTTCACTATTTTCATGTGTGATAACATGTAAATATGCTCCTCAACATTGTTGCGTACTACCGGATGTTCGCAAAGTTAGCAGTTGATCCACATGCATACATTTATGTGTGTGTGTGTGTGTAAGAGAGAGAGAGAGAGAGAGAGAGAGAGAGAGAGAGAGATGAATTGAGGATAACTCCCAAGGTTCATTTGAAAGGTCAGGTCAATTTAGTTCTATCTTAAACAATCAGGCAGGTAGACTGAAAAATAAAGCAATTATTTACACAGCATACCTGCATTCTATGACATTGTGAAACCTACAAAACCCTACTCTAGTTTGCTGAAACTCAACTTGATGTTGATTACATCTCAAAAAATTATATGCCACAGAGAACGAGCCATGGACCTTCCATCCAAAGGACCAAAGCAGCCGAGAACAAGCTCAATCCACAGCCTAACACACACAGAGAGGATCTGCGAACAACTTTTGCACAACCTGTCAAAAAGAACTTTATTGTTCAGTATGATTGACAGGGATGATGAACTCAACATTCGGGGTAATTCAGAAGGATAAACATAGGTGAAATGTTTTTAAAATTACGAAAACTCCAAAAGGCATAAAACCCATCCGATGCAATCAATTATGGATTTCACAAATTATAAAAATCAAAGAGAATTGTTTTTTGTTATTATCCCATATAAAAAGGCCTCCTGACCATCCTTGCACCTTCAATTTCCAGTTTCTCAGGTCAATTCAAGGCATGGGGGGTATGCCATTCTCACATAACTCATAACAATAATGTAAATTTTGTGCGAAGATGGCTGGCATGCGACAGCACATATATGAAAGCAGACACAGAGAGAGAGAGAGAGAGAGGTTGGACATACCGATTATTATAAGTACCCAGCAACTAAGCTTTGAATGCTAGTGTATGTTGCGGTTGAGCAATCCTTGGAATGATAAATAAAGATCTTTGTTATCAGTCCCAAATATCTCTTCCGCTTTCCTTAGAGTTTCCTGGAAAACAATATATACAAACCATTCACTTATTTGGTAATCAATGGGTCTGGTATGTGTTTAGTTGCATCAGATAATCATTCAATCAAACAATTCGCTAGTGTTTTACCTCTCGGGTTTGCTTATGAGCATTTAGTTCCTTGATGTTAGCCAGAAATGCACTGAACTGCTCATATGACAGGCGACTCCTAAATTGCAGCATATTCAAATCAGTCCATGAAGGGCCTCATTACTATTGCAACAAATCAATCAAAGTGTATTAGAATTGCAATAATTACACCAACCTGGCTTGACGAAAGAACTCCTTTCCATCAATTCGAGGAGTGCGTCCTACCAAATTTGCAATGCAGAAGATGAAAAGTTTTAAAAGGTAACTCAAAATAGGAGAAGAGAGTGTTTGTATAGGGTCATCAATTACAACTAACTGTTGTATTGAAAGACTAAATAGTAGAAGAGAGTGTTCATATAGTGTCATCAACTACAACTCACTGTTGTAATGAAAACACATATAAAATTTATGTTGAAGAGAGGGGAGGACAATGGGCAGGGTTGGTTTTGATAGATAATTGCAGATTTGGGGCCAAGGGAAAAAAAGGCCACAGAGAACCGGCAGTTCCTATTTAGGTTTAGAAGAAAAATAGTGAAATTAACAGAATTCCAAACCTGGAAGTGGACGTCCCCGAGGTGGAGAGTTTGCTGCTGATGACTGCTGGCTTGATGAGTACCATGAAGACATTGACGTCCGTCCTTCATAGTGGGGTCTTGTGGGAGATGTGGCACCAGAGGATTGCAGAGGAGATGAAACAGCAGAATATCCTCTAGGTGACCCACTTGTGGAAATAATCTTTGGAGTTCCAGTTGGAGTAAGCCGCGGTGTGATATATGGAGTCACAGAAAATCTTTGCCCGGAAGTCTTCAAGGCTGTGAACCAATAATTAGGTTTCTAATCATAAAATAAAAACCCCTTACTCTGAACTAACTTGGTTTCATGATTTTCAGTAAACGAACGATATTTAAATCTGCAACTTCATAGTAACAAATTGACATAATTCAATTATGAGAAACAAAGAACGAGAGTATAAAAGTAGAAATAGCGGGAATCAATCAAGTGATTAGCAAATTTATTAACTAACGGACAAGCACCCACTGAGAGAAACCAGAAGGTTCAATATCGCAAAAACCACCAAAGTGACTAAATTATGAATCAGTACCCTCTAAACAAACTCAAGAGGTTCAATATCACAAAACCCTTCATTACCATTTCATGAATCACCAACAGAGAGAGAGAGAGAGAGAGAGAGAGAGAGAGTATTTTGTCTTGTTATTACTTTTAATTCAAGATTTGAACTAAACCATTGATTATACATCTTGAAACTTGATGATAAGGCATTACGGAAGTTAATTACTTGGATATCAATAAACTAACCATATTAACCACACAAGTCAGGGATATCGTCTTAAGGGTAAATCAATTCACTTCTTTTGTAGAGGAAGATGTGAAGTTATTGAAATCCCTCGAAAATATTTGGTACCGTAAGAATTATTTATCTCGGAGACACTACAACTTTTTGATGTTTCAATGCACCATGCTATTTTCTTATGTCTCACCTTTAAATGAAAAGGTGTTATTATTGTTCAGTAGAGAAGCTCTGTTAGAGGTGTCTGTACAATCATTATATGAAGGAGCATATGATGAAAGGATACTGATTAGGAACATATGGTGAGTTTATTATTCGATGACAAATATGTTCTCCTCTAATGTATGACAAAATATGCTTCTAAATGTTTGTTACTTATTCTACGAGGTATTATACAGGCAGGATAGAGATCTATGAACAGTAGGGTCCAGTTTAAATACCTTCATCAGTTGTATTCCCCTTATCTGTGGAACCACTTGAGGAATATTGTAGTGTGTAGCCATTTGTCTCCTCATCTGTAGCAGACAGAAATAATGCACATTGACCACCAAATCAAAGGAAATAATAAGAAGCAAAGTTAGAACCCCTGACCATTGAAAAAAAAAAAAGGAGTTGCTAAAGATCATTAATTTATTACAGAAAGACTATAGAATACTTGATAAAGTCAAAGAAACAGTACCCTTATCAGGATATGCCTTTGGAACTGATTGGTCACAGGTGCCAATATCAACAGTTTCAGTTGGCTATAAAAGGAAAAATATAGTTAATTAGTTTTACCATAGAAAACTTATCCAAGAACAAACTTCCATGAGAGGAAGAACAATAACAAACTTAAATTTTCAGAGATTAAAAACCATAATTGGTAAAGTTGAAGTCCTCACAGATGCATTATCATCATTTAGAGACTGCATTAGTTGTCTCTTAAATGTCTCCAACTGTCAACAGGGAAAAAAACTGTCATTCCTTAGGTCAACATGCTACAAGAATGAAAAGAAGTTGAAGAGATAAGTTTGCAATATCCTTAGTATAGATACAAATTGCAAACATACAAAAACAACGAAAATAAACAAAACGAGGAAAATAAACAAGGAAATAATCATGAGTTTGCTGGGTTAGAGTTTTATCCGTATGGATCTGGAAGAGTTGAATAATCATAAGAATAATAACACAAAACGCTGATGTCTATACAGTTGTAAACATAATATAAATTTGGTCAGTTTCAGCTACCCAATAGTATGCCAAACAGTTTATCTTCACATCATTCTAGCTTTTCTTTTCATTTTAGAGGCCTGCAAGCTCATGTTTGTGAGGCAAGGTGGGGTATGAGCCCATAAAAGAAAGCATAAATAAGCATTGCCACATAACACGAAGAATCCAATCTTCATTGATATGAAATCCTATAACAGTTTAATTAATATAATAATTTGAAAACACAGAATTAGGATTAAATCAAACATAGGCATGCAGGAGACAAGATTATGTATTACTACACTTCTGGACCACATAGGGCCTTGTACCATGTAATTGGCATAATATACTGAAGTTAATGAAGAACTACAATAGTTAATATTGCATCTCTAAACAAGTTATTGATAGGATACGAAAGGAAACTTTGAAATGTCACATTGCACAAGTTCAAACAGATAACAAATTCATCTTTTGATTCACACAGTTTCCTATCGAAAAGAAATGAGATGGAATAATTCATCTGAAGAGAAAAAGAAATGGATTAGCGCATATATTCACCACTAAGGAACACTGAGTGATTAGTGGCTTCCCCATTAATTCTGGAAAAAATGTCATATCATTTTCATTTCTACACATAGAATGTATTACAAATTCTAGAATATATCATCCATGAAACTACATTTACAAAGGGAAAATAATAATACAACTAAAAACCAAAAGGCATCCCCAAATTCCTCTTGCAATGTGTAAAAACTTTTGTGTTTCAATCTCCAAACAAGAATAGTGCATAAATTGTTTGAACAGTTTGAACAACGAAGAAAAAAACTCTTCCACTTAAAACAAATAACAAATCACACCTTTGCCAAGTCACGGTTGAGCTTTTTCGCAGTCACTGCCAGTGAATCTCGTTCTTTGGAAAGCTTCACCTTCATGAACAACAAGAATGTAACATAGCCATAATTAATGCAAGTTTGTTTTGACAAGAAACTCAAAAGGTGATGCACCATCCATTGTTGAGGACATAAAGTTATCAAGAAAAGACAATAGTTGAATCTTGAGTACTATTATTCTTTTTGCATAAAGACTCCAGAAAGTAAATGACAAAAGGAAGATGCCTCCACCTAGTTGAACAGTGTTACAACTAGTTGATGTAACCATGTGCACTATGTTAGTAAATCTTTATTTTTTATAAATAAAAAATTGAAAGAAACATATGTGCGTGTTTATTAGAAAAGAAATAAATTATCACATTTCAGTCGCTCAGCCTTATACAACTATCTCTAATATCCACACAAAAAAAAAAAAAGACCGATATAACAATTCTGTTCAATTTTAAAATAAAATGTGCTTTCATCACTCCTGCAGGTCTTTTTTTTTTCATAGGAACTCCTGGTCATGTTGTACAGAAGGAAAAATTAATCAAATGGTAGCAGAAGAGGAGTAAAACGCAATGTTATTATCCATTGCTTACATTAAAAGCTACCTTTCTTTTTTATATAGGAACAAAGAAATTAGTTCCTTTCTACTTCATGGTACGTACCAAATTTATTTCAAGATCTAAAAACTTTATTGAAAAGTGCCATCCTTCTCTTTTCTCTAGTATGAGCCAAAAGCGAAAAGGAAGAAATTTTGTTTACATAGTAATGAACTAAGGAGTAGTATCGTCAAACTTAAGAATTTAGTGGTTGCATTCTTTCTGTGCTACATTCATCAAGCATCACCCCAGCTTCTCACTTTTCTAATTGAAAAGCATTTCAATCTTCAAATATTTATGGTTCTCCATCAACTGACTCTTGATTCCTGACTCCAGACTATGATGAAAAGATTTCACACTTATATTATCTACAATCACAATTCCGTAACCTAACCCAAATACTCAATCCCATTGAACCTAAGTCCCTCATATCCCACTCAATTAAACGAAAACAATTAATAAAAACAACAACCACAACAGTATCAGCAGAAAACACTCAATCTCCCCCCAGAACTCTCTCCTTTTCTTCCATTCCTATCAATTTTCTCAGCAACCAAACAGCAAAAAATAAGGACCACATATGAAATTCAGAATAAGGTATCACATTTCTTGGATGCTAATTTGAAAGGGGGAAAAGACAACTATAGTGAAACCCCCAAATATTCCCCAAAAAATGACTAATTTCTCTCCCTTCTCTTCCCTTTCCATAATCTTCTTAGCAGCCAAACAGCGGATATAAAAAAACAAGAAAGAATTCAAATTTGATACAATTCCCAAAATGAAAAATGAAAAAGTACGGGGTGGGGGGTCTTAAGCCTTACATTCTCATCCAGGGCAATTCTCAAGCGGGAGTCAGCCTCGTGGTTTGCATGTTGGAGGCGCGAGAGCCTTTCCTCAAGCTCAAATACAAGCCTATCTTTGTCCTGGAGTTTCTGCCTCATTTTCCCCATCTCCGACTCGAGCTTGGAAACCCTAGAGGCTATGGCCATGGACGTGATCTTTCGCGCCAGATCCAGCTGATCGTATGGATCGCTCGGTATCACCGATAAGATCTCGTCCGGTAGCTGAAAGTCGTGCCCGCCGCCATCACCACCAGCACCAGCACCTCCTGCGCTTCCACTGCCCTGCGACATAGTTGATTGCTCCTCCTCCTTCTCCGAGTCTCTCTGTGGTGGTGGTGTTGTTGGTTGTTGATTTGTTGATGGAAAATGCTAGGGAGACCAACTTGGTATACCAACTTGTGTACCAACTCTCTAACAGAGCGTCCACCAGCACCAGCACCTCCTGCGCTTCCACTGCCCTGCGACATAGTTGATTGCTCCTCCTCCTTCTCCGAGTCTCTCTGTGGTGGTGGTGGTGTTGTTGGTTGTTGATTTGTTGATTGATTCTCTGTTCACACTTTGGGCACAACGTTGAAGTTGAATAGGATTTTCTCTATTTTTAAATTAATTTCAATTTTTCATTTGAATGAATTTCCCACTATCTGTCCTTTCCCAATGAAGAAAATTTATTTTCATTTTTTATTTTTTATTTTAATGTTTGGTTCCTTTTTGTTTTTGGGGTTGCTGTCAAAGTTCGAAATGTGCGGGGGGTTTCCCTCCAAAATCCAAACAAACTTTGGGTATGAAACATATAAAGCCCAATAAATTTTGGGCCTCATTCAAAATTGGGAGACAAAGATTTGTTCTTTTCTAGGCCCTAAGTAAAACAAACTTTTAGCTTATGCCCAGACCACCAAGAAGACACTCTCTCTCTCTGTCCCTCTGCTTCCAATTGCTCTGAACGTAATTCGAAGAATTGAGTGAGTTCTCAAATCGCTACTTTTAATCGTAATTTTCCCGCAAAATTTTGTTCCCTGGTGCTGTCTGTTTAGGGTTTGGAGTTTTGTTATTCATATTCTTCTTCTTGTCTGCTGTTACATCGCAGAAGGCTTGCAATAATAGCCCTTCAATCAGCTTCAACAAGGAAAAACAACAGGTTCGTCGAAACCCAGCTGTGGTTTTTAGATTTAAAGTACCTTTTTTTATTTTGAAGTTGGGGAGGAGGGGAGAGATTTAAGCTTTCTTTTTTCTTCTTTTGTAATGCAATATTGGGTTGTTAAAGTTTCAATCTTATGTCAAGATAATGCATTTTGCGGGTTTATTTCTAATATCTTAGAGCTCAAGCTCTGTTGAAAATCAAATAAATTAAAATATGAATAAATTTCTTTTCTTTTGCGTTTTGCTAATCTTTAAAAACGTATTTTTCAGATTAGATTGGACCCAATTGAATTTGTCAGTTATACATATGTATATGTAGAATAATTTTCATAAGTTGGTTTCAGTTTAACTTGAATACTTCTAGAAAATATATATAATTTTCTTCTGGGTGATTAGTTAATGAATTTAATACTTGCGTTTGATACAGAGAGAGACTATGTCAGTGCTTATAGTGACAAGCTTAGGGGAGATAGTTGTGGATTTGCACACAGACAAGTGCCCTCTGACTTGTAAAAACTTCTTAAAGCTCTGCAAGTAAGTATATCTTCACTACCCTCTAACTAAGACTATTCAGTTTACTTTTGTTTTATGTTGTGTTAATGTATGTAGATTGAGGAGAGGTCTTTTTTTCAGTTAAGAAACTTAACAAACAAATAAATATCTAAGCCTCGAGCTTCTTTTTCATTTTGTTAAATTCATGTATTTTCTCAGCAGCCAAATTTTTTTTGTTACTTCAGCTATGGATTAAATATATGAACTTTGAAAACATAAAACTGGGTTCATGTAGGATTTCCATTATTCATTGAGTCTTGAGATTGTATTTAAACTTTGTTTAAGTACTGGTTTCTATTTTCAATTGCTTACAAGCTTGTTAGGGATTATAGAGTTTCTTACTTGCCCCAGAAATTTTGGCACGTTATTGTCATGGCTGATTGGAATATCATTTTTAAGAATCATACTAATGTTTTATGGTTGGAATTTATCTTTCTCCTTGATTGCTTACTTTTTTGAGTTTGTTGAGTTTAATTATGAATTGTATTATCTATCTCAATTTTGGTATATCATCTTATTTTTTTCTCTGTTCTTTAATCTCAATAATGATTCAGGATAAAGTATTATAATGGGTGTCTTTTTCACACGGTTCAGAAGGATTTTACTGCACAGACTGGTGACCCAACTGGAACAGGCTCCGGTGGTGATTCAATCTACAGGTAAGGAGTCTGCCCGAGCTATTCAGTGCTATGGCTATTTCGCAGAGAATATTTTAGTTGCGCCAAAATATTGAAATATGTTTTTCTTCCTACACTTCTTGCTTCTTTTTTCTTTCTTGCCTTCCTCACATCAACAACTATTACTGCATGAATGGCTATTTTCGCATTCCCACTTTATCCATTTGCACACTTCCCTCATTGCTTTGGTAATTAAGTCAATGAAAGGAGAATCAAAGCATACAAACAAGGAGATGAGTGAAAACAAACAAAATGGGAGTGTGAAAATCACTAAGTTGCATGTGTTTATAGTTATCAATTGCTGTACTTAATGATAAGTGACTACAGTTTTTAAATTACTCCATATACTCACCCTGGACCACGTTCTACTTTCAGATTTTTATATGGTGATCAGGCTCGCTTTTTCAATGATGAGATTCATCTTGATTTAAAGCATTCTAAGACAGGAACTGTTTCCATGGCTAGTGCTGGAGAGAATCTCAATGCTTCTCAGGTATAAGATTATTGCTTCTTCTTTTTCTGGTATAAGCTAGTTTTTCCTGCATCAATAATATTGGGAATAAGATTTTGTTTAGTTGATTTGTGTACTTGTTATCAAACTTATGCTTTTTGAATGTTGAACTTTTCACTTTTCAATTACATTGAGGTGATGTGTTAATTTTTTTTTGTCGTCCAGTTCTACTTTACATTGCGTGATGATCTAGACTATCTCGATGGGAAGCACACAGTAAGTCTCCAGTCCCATCTACTAATATTTACTATTTATATGTATTGAATTATTTTCTCTTTCTCAACTTTGTCAAATATAAGAAACTTTATTAAATTTAAATTCCTTGCTGGGTGGATGGATGCTTAGGTCAATGAGACTTCAATCTTGATAGGAGCAGACAAGTGACAACTCAATATTGTGATATTGCATGTACGATAGTTCCTTTGGTCTCGATGTCTTTAAAAATATAATGAATAAAAATGGGCAATATTTCTTTGTTGCTACATCTGCTAGAAAATGCTGGATAGTGGGAGAGGGAATGTCAATCTACTGATGCACTGACTTAATGTGGAAAATCAGATATTGTTATCACCTTCCTATGCATCAATGCTTAGGGCTTGTGTTTCATATTGTAAACATAGGATTGTTCCTGTACAATAGCATTCTCTTACTGTTTGATGGGGTTGCATGATTATCCTTCCTTGTGTGTGTTTATGTAGAGTGTATTACATATATTTATGCTAACAGATAGTCTCTTCCAATAACTCTGCAAAATCTGCAAGCAGATGGCATATGCATGTCCGGCGATTATTCAGTTGGTCTACCCCTAATTAACCCAAGAGGGAATGTATGATTTAGAAGTAGTCTTGTCGGTCTGGTAGTTCTAAAATGGAAGCTTTTCTATGTTTGTGCTCCTGCAATTTGCTATTGGTTTTCTTTGATAACTTAAGTGATGTATGTCAATGCAGGTTTTTGGGGAGATAGCAGAGGGGTTTGAGACATTGACAAGGATCAATGAGGCTTATGTGGATGAGAGAAACAAACCCTATAAAAATATCCGGTCAGTTCCTGTTTTTCCTTGAATATATTTTTCAATTGTATGTATGTTTCAATCTAGATTGACTTTGTTATGGCTTACACTTATATTTTATTTGTGTTAGCAGAATCAAGCATACTTACATATTGGATGATCCTTTTGATGATCCTTCACAATTAGCTGAGTTAATTCCTGATGCCTCCCCAGAAGGAAAACCAAAGGATGAGGTAGTGGCTAATTGCAACTTTTCTCAACATTTATCGTGCAGTGTGAAACCCCAAAATGAAGATAAAAATGAAACATGAACTGCTCATATAACACTTGAAATCGTAGGTTCCCCAAATAGCATGGTTGCCGATCTTTAGTATGAACACTCTTCGTATTTTGGCTAGTGCTGATAAAGTTTATGTTTGACCACTATGTCCAAAAGCTTTGTGAAGCAATAGTTATTTTATACTCTACCCTTACGTCTGGGTCTCTCTCTATCATTAGGTAGCCCAACTTTTGAAAATTAAACTTTTATTGGAATGTTGCAATTGTAGGGATCCGAACTCAGAATCTTATGCTTTGATACGATGATAAAGTTTGTTAGTCTACCACCTTTCTCAAAAGCTTAAGCTGTTTGGATGAGGGCTAACAATTTATATATGTTCTCAGATCTTCAAACTTCTTACTTATCTCTATTCTGACTAGGTTGAGGATAATGTGCGGCTTGAAGATGACTGGGTTCCTTTGGATGAACAATTAGGACCACAAGAACTTGAAGAGCGTCTTCGTGCCAAAGACGCACATTCCAGTGCAGTTGTACTTGAGAGTGTAAGCACCTCAACCATAATTCCATTATTCTAGTTGCAGCGTGTGATGTTTGTGTATTCACAGCTTAATCCTCTTTTTCCCATTTTTCTTGCCACATCTGTTTACAGATTGGGGATATTCCTGATGTTGAGATAAAGCCTCCTGACAATGTGCTTTTTGTTTGTAAATTGAATCCAGTAACAGAAGTAAGTTGTTTTTCTCTTTTCCATTTCCTTTAATAGTTTTAACTTGTGGTGTGGTGCACATAATTGTCTGTTTTCGGTGCAGGATGAGGATTTGCACACAATCTTTTCACGTTTTGGAACTGTGCAAGCGTAAGTATTGATCTTGTTCTTTAATTATTAGTAGTGTGTGCGATGGGTGGGTTAGGGATTGTCATGATGCATATTGATGATATGTTACTGATGACAGGGCTGATATAATCCGTGATTTCAAGACTGGAGACAGCTTATGCTATGCATTCATCGGTGAGTATATTTTATTTGATTACTTATTTTTCTGTTTTATAGTAGGAAATTGACTATCTCTTATCTGCTGTGCCTGTTAATCTATGGTTTTCGCACCTTTGTTTGATGAGTTCCTTCCAATATTCCTGTCCTTTTAAGTTTTGTGCACAAGTTCATCGGTCAACCTTAAGTACTATGAAGTTCTTTGTCCTTCTGCTTACTTCTTTCCTGTTATTTTCCTTTTAATTTTTTTAAAGTAGTATTCGATTTTCTGATTGCGTACTCAAATCACTGACATTTGATATTTTGTAATGCCAGAATTTGAGACCAGAGAGGCATGTGAACAAGCATATTTTAAGGTATGTTAAAAGAAATTAACCTATTGTAGAGGATAGGAAAAAAAATAAAAAAACTTTGTTGTATTCATGCAACAGAATGGTTGACATTTTCGTATTTAGGCTATAGATTTGTTATCCTTTCCTGGCGTGCTTTGTTTCCACATGCATTTTTTAAAAGCATGCTCAGATAGTCCCTTCAAGTTTCAACAATAGGGTTGTAAAAATAGTATACTTGCTGCAGAACTTATGTAAACCTTGCTGAAGGCTTCCCATTTGTAGGCAGTCTTTTAAAATAAGGAGTGAGATCCTTTGACTCTATTTTATATACTCTGTTTTGCTTTCCTTTGCTTATTGAATTTATTTTTGGTAGATGGATAATGCTTTAATTGATGACCGGAGAATACATGTGGATTTTAGTCAGAGTGTTGCAAAGCTGTGGTCCCAGTACAGGCGCAAAGATCAACAAATGGGCAAAGGTATAGACTTCAAAGGATGCAGGAAACAAACATACATAGTTTCTTCTTTTCCATTTTTAATGTGTGCCTAGATGCAGCTTGCTTGATCACCTGCTACTGCTCAAAGGAATGTTTTGTTTGGAGAAAAATAAATAATTAAGTAAATGCCTGAATGTTGTTTTTTACTGGAAGGAATTTGCTATATGTGCATTGTTATGGCATATGCTAAAGGCAATCTGACATACTTTTGTATCAAGAATGTGTCCTGTATTCGAAATTGTTTTGGATCCTTCTTTAGTTAGAATACCTAGGGTTAATATTTTTCTCTTTTCTGTGGCTGTAGGCAAAGGTTGCTTCAAATGTGGTGCGCTTGATCACATTGCCAAGGATTGCACTGGTGATTCTGCCAACAGACAGCAACCTCAAAAGTACATATTAAAGGATGACAATGCGCAGCGTGGTGGAGGCAACAACTCTAGGTTGGTAGTCTTGCATGCTGTCGCTCTCTCTCTCTCTCTCTCTCTCTCTCTCTCTCTCTCTCTCTCTTATATATTATGTAATTGTATTTCTGATATTAAAATTGTTGCAGTTATGAGATGGTATTTGATGGAGACACTCCGGAAAGTCCAAGACAAGAACAGAGAAATCAAGGTCGCAATCCAAATGACCGTGGAGTCGAGAAACAAACGAAAAATAGGCGGAGTTCCGAGGACCCAAGGCATAGGGATCAAGAACATAAAGACTCAAGTGATAGGGAGAGGCACAGTGACAGAAGTAGAGGGTTCAGAGAGGATTCAAGTCGAGACAGTAAAGCAAATCGATCCGGTGGAAGCAGAAGCGGTCAAGATTATCTTGAAGAGCGAAGGGATAGAGAAAGGCATAAGGACAGAGAAAGAGGCACAGATGATAGGAGAGATCAGCGTGAAAGCAGAAAGAGATATGCTGATGATGGTACCTATGCAGAGAGGAGGGGTGATGGAGATTACAGAAAGAGGAGTGCAGATAGTGATAGAGATGTGCATAAGGAGAGGCAAAGAAACGTAGATAATAAGAATCAGCAGGAGAGTGGAAAGAGATATGCAGATGATTATGCGGAGAGGAGGGGTGATGAAAATTACAGAAAAAGGAGTGCAGATAATGATAGACTTGCGGAAAGGGGTAGTGACCGAGAGTACCGAAAGAGAAGTGCGGCTGATGATAGCCTTTCAGAAAAGAGGGACAGTGGAGAGTATAAAAAGAGAAGTGCAGAGAGGAGGGATGATATAGAATATAGAAAGAGATATGCGGATGATGACAGACGCAACAAGAGAGATGAACCAGTGCACAAGAGAAGAAGTGCAGATGTTGATGCCTTTAAAGGTAAAAGGGAAGACAGAGAACACGGAAGGTAATGATGAGACCTTCATCCCGAGAAATGGCAGAGCAGAGAAAAAAGACTTGTACTTACTATTCGTGATGTATAATTTTGACCTCAGAATATTGAATCAGACCCTTTTTTGTTTTTTAGCAATACACTTCTCTACAAAAGGAATTAAATTAACTTTTGTCATTTTATGCATGCAAACTCGTGCAACAATCACGTTTTGTTACTAATTCACTCATATTATTAATTTGTTAAAAATAAGTCATTTAAATGGAGCACCAAAAAGATCGCCTATAGAAACGTATTTACGAGATTGAAGACTATTAATGATGATACTCCATGATTTTGTAAGAAGACAATGTAGCACGTTAATACTGCTTTATGGAAGTAATTTGAGGCAATTTCTGGAAGTTAGGGGGAAATAATTCATACCTACATGTATAATATATTTATTGCGAAGTTTACGGTAACATAATCCAATACAAGATCCAACATTTCGCATTAGTTTGAACAAAGGAAGGGGAGGACAGGCACGAGAAACAAAAGGAAGAAAAACAAAAATCCATTTCAACCATATACGACTGAGATGGATATACTAAACTGAATTGATTAGACAATATCGAAGGGTTTCTTCTCTATTTTTACTACAATGATTCTACAATCAAATTATCATCATCTAAACTAAAATACATCGTACATGGTTACATCCAAAACATCTTTAGAAAGACATGAGATTCAAAAAGAACCTTTATGTATGGTCCACTTAGGACTTTGATATGCCTCTTAGAGAATTCTGAAGGGCAGAGGATGTCATATACATGGAAGCTGGTCAAAATCATCAAGCTGAAGGAGCCTTAGAGCACATAAATACTTTCCCAGAAGCTGGGAGAAGACAGGAGAGTGTGCCCATGATCATCACCAAAGAAATCACAACAGAAACCGAGGATCGTTTGTGGCAAGCAGTACACACATCACACATGATTTTCCGGTGCATGCCTTTTGCTATCCCTTTCTGTATGGGCAGAGCGGCCCACCCTGTTGTGATCTTCTGTATAATCACCATGATTATGGTGATGGGGCCCAGGCACATAATCATGTCGCTGCTTCCTTTCCATAGGAACTGCTATTGGGCTTCCTGCCTTTCTCTTACGACTGCTTGATTTTGGTGACTGAAATTCTTGTCCGGCATCAAGTGCTGATACCTCACCTTCTTCTATATTGTTTAAATGTGGTCCGCCATCTCCAACACCGTCCGGATGTTTTCCCTGATGCAGGCCCTCATGTTCTTGTCTATTTGAGGGCTTTGACCAGCTTTGCCTCCTGTCCCGCTTGTTCTTCTCACTCCCCGTAGCCAGTTCAATACCATCTTCGAGTTCCCTCTCAATCAAATCATCCTCATCCAGCACATCTGTCTTCCGAGTCACATCGGCCACGGATTTCCTTCGTTTCTCCAGTGCTGCCCTTACCTTGTCCTTGTCAATTTTTTTTATAGCTTCCTGTGGAGATCGGCCATGTGCACTTTGTCGATTCTCCAAACTTCGGCCAAATTGTTTATCCTTTGGTTCCCATCCTTCCCTTGTTTCACCTTTCCCGACATTGCTCTCTCTTTCTTGTTCTTCACTATGTCCCTCTGACACAAACCTTGATATATTTTGAGATTCCCCCACCTTGTCTAGGTGCAGTGAAACTGCTTCGGGGGGTTGACTATCTTTGAATTCAACATCCATATTCTGATCCAAAGCACCTTTCATTTCAGCACTTCTGTAGTCATTACTTTGACTGTGGGTAGTTCTAGCAGGTCCACCATTCTCAACATAAGACTGCTCAGACCCTTGCCTAGATGCTGGCTTTGAGGTTCCAGGTCTTGTACCTCCGGCCTGCGAATGACTGTTGCCTGTTGCATGTTCTTCATTGCTAGTTGTAGCTTTTGCAGAAGGCTGATGATTAGCACCACTCACTGAACTTCCATCAACTTCATTAGTGGACGGCGGTAACCGATTTTGTTCATATAGTTCCAACATTTGATTGCTCACTTCTGCAGCAAATAATGGTCAATTGAAACTGATACCCAACATATTTAATAAGATTCTTAACTAAATACATTAGACATGATCACAGGATTGTACGAACGGAGGAGGAAGGAAGAAACAGAGGGAGAGATTTCATTCCTCTCCAAAACATTTTATCCCCGCAATTGATTGGTTTCACACTGACTAACAAAAAGAATAAGCGCGCCGAAAATATTGGAAGAGTGAAGAGTGATGAAGTAAGTTCATCAGATGAAGAATATGAGGCTGGGAAAGGACACTATTGATTGCTCTGCAGCATCACTTATTGAAATAAAGCAAGGACACCCACCCTCCAATTGGCGTGGGGTGACATCAAACTCTTGCCACCAGACCTTCTCGCCATCTGATGGAAGCTTTACTTTGAGGAACTTAGCAGCAAGAAAAATGGCACCAGCCGCAATGTGGTGGGGCTTAAATTGCAAGCAAAGTGATGTCCGAAGTCTGCATGCCACATTCCAAGTTCAAGAAGAAACTGAAGAAAGGCCAAGAAGAGCAAGCAAGATATATGAACTAAGAGAACCATACCCGTCATTAACAAAATTCCATGCAACTTGAGCAAGGGCATTTTGAGCTACTTTGAATTTCTTTATTGCCTCAACCAGCGGTTTATACGGATGGTTTACATTAAGATCAAAAGCAAGAGTTGCAAGAACAAGCCTCTCTCCAAGTAAAATCAACTCTTTCTGCTGTTCATATACCTCCTGCATGATTGTTGCAAATGTATGAGAATAGATAATAAATTGCATTATAAAGCAAACAATAAATTAAAATCAAATTTGGATAGTAGTTCTGGGATAAAAGAAACATTAGAATGAAAAAGGGGAAAAGCAACAGGTGAGAGAGAGAGAACAATTAATCAAAGCCAGTTGGATTTATGTCTAGGAGATTTAGCAACTGGCTACACCTCTTGACATGTACAATTGCAGCATGGATATGCAGTCTTTGTGCTCAACCTATACGGGGAAGTTGGCATTTCTAAATAGTAAAACCAGGGTAACGATAGAAGAATAATAGTGCACACATCAGGATTATCTTTACAGAAATTAGGAAGAACTACATAAGTAGCATAACTAACATCAATAAATGTGTTGATAGATAAGTATAGGAATGCCAAGTGCAAGCACTTAATGAAAATTTTTTTCAGTAAGAAACCATACTTTTATTAAAATCACCAGAATGTACAGATCAGTGAACAAGAAATCCAGCAAAAATACAACCAGCAGAATCTTAAAACTAAAACCTCTCTCTACCACATTTCACCAGAATGCACTATATAGTGATAAGCTGATAACTACCTTTTGCTTGATTCTATGAACTGCTTCAGGATCCTTTTTATTAATAATTTCATACGAGACAAGAATGACATCTTTCAGCGGCCTGGGAGTTTCTTCAACCTTCCCAGCAAGAAACATACACACTGTTGCAATGGTCTGCAGAACAGTTTAGTAGAATTTAGTCAATAAAATAAAACATCATCCCTTTTTCTTTGATACGAATCATTTTCCCAATTAATTTCACCTTAATCGTTTGTGGGATAGGAAACTTAACAATTCTACAAATGAAAGTTCAACAATACAAAAACAGTGAAGCAGCAACACACTGAGGGTTCACCCAACATTAAAATTGCAGAAAAGCAATATAACCTTTAAAAAGAACTAACAAATACATCTAACAACCAGGCCCTACCATAACACACAATAACCCAAACAAACAGTTGTCTCCAAAGAAAGAACAAACTTTAAACTCATCTACAAATGAAGCCCATAATGACGGGCAACCCTATCGAATAAGAATCCACTGCCTATGAACCCTTGCCCACAAACATCTTGCTACTCATTTCCATCCAAACAGAAAATTGCCAACACATTACAATTCCACTAAAACTTTGGTCTTTTTCCAAGCACAAGCAGGGGAACCACCCAGCTCAAACTCGCTAACAGGAATAGCTTGTACCCCTGAACTCAAGGCAATAGGGCAATGAGGAAAAATCTGATCAGTGATTTTGGATGCCTTATGCGCATGGTACACACCAGTGAGGAGATAAATAGGAGTAGGCTATTTCCTTCCAACAACATCAAAAGTATTTACTCTCCCACGAGCAATAATAGAATCATAAAATTGTACCTAAAAAGGTGCTCTAGCCTTTCAAATCATCAAGGATGGGTTGAAAAATAGGAAGAGAAGGGTTATCAATTAAGGGGACATAGTAAGACTTGCACGAATAACTAACCAAGGATTCACAATGACATGACCTATCTAAATCACAACAAATGTAAAGTGAAATTTTAATCAAATAAGGGAGGGAAAATAATTAATATCATTCAGGTTTCTATGGATATTAAGATTCCGGAATATTAGAAAGTAGAGAAGACCGACTAGCTACCTATGGAATACATTATGCGATGAGGAAAGATAAGACACAAATATTGTACCTCAGATGCTTCCTATTCATTGGATTGAAGATTATCAAGGTTTCGACTTAAATCTTTCATATGTTCCTTCTTCTTAGATAGATACTTAAATGAAAATACCCCTAAGCATAAAAGGATTGCATCTCATATGCGGGTGTAGCAATTAAATTATCACTGTTAACTATCATACAAAGTCAAGAGGAATTGTATATTAGGTTACACCAATAGGAAATGTAAACTCGATCACTCCATCTTGCGGAATTGCAACCACAAACAGACAGTATGAGTTTTCTTTCCAGAATGTAAGTGTTGGTACATTTCTAAATTAGATCTCCAGAATCGAACTATGTCCCACAAATAATTTGTACCAGCATATTTCAGGGACATGCATCATGTCCCAGTTAATCAGGATTAAGATTAAGGCTTAGTTGAGCAGATTCTATGTTTAATCTATGGTAACTTTAATCACATCATGGAAAACAGGCATAGTGATAGCCATTGAATGAGGTTAGTTGATCCACTAAAACCTATAATATATGCCACACAATGAAGATCAAAGGTCTAATAGAAAGCATAAGCCAAGTAAAGAAATCGCATGGCACTGAAATTCCTTATATCAATTAATACTAATTGTCTTGCATGGCATTTGCAATACAAGTACAATAGAGATTAGAAAACTATCATGTTTATTCTAGTAATATGCATGAAAGTCATGACAAAAGAGGTTGACATCAATCAGTTGTAAAAACCCACATAAAGAATCCTGCAACCATGAAAGGCATAATATTCCAAGCACACTGAGGTTTTCATTCATCTGAATCACACTCACAAATGACTACCAGTAAGAGGGAAGGTGGGGTAAAGCATCAATTGAAAAAGAAAGAACATGCATGGGGCTAAACGTCTTACTTCTTCACTGGGTACCACAAACACTTGTAATAACTACAATCAGCCATTTATGTCTTCACAATATATGTACATATAGATAACTTCAACAGGACGCCACATGATATGACTTGTGAGAGGCTGTTCAAACAGCAAAATATAGCCCGTTCGAATGGCCTCTCACATCCCCAAAAACGAGATCCTGCTGATGAAGGAAGAGTCATGTGTGTGTGTCACAAACAGACACACGAATGCAGACATATATGCATTTATATATGTGTGTGAAATAGAGACTAAAAACATGCAATAGAAACAGCGAACAAAATGCGCTAACTAGAAATTTTAAAGCAAACTCAAATATATATCAAATAGAACTAGGAAACCAGAGGGGATGGGGGCTATTCCAGTTTGTTAATACTCACCCTTCTATCATTCTTTGCATGGGATTGGCAAAGGAAGAATCGATGACAGAAGATTATGGCTGTTGCAATCGTTACCTGGGGTCTGCAAAATAAAATGTTCAGGATCAACATAATGCTGAATATTTGATCATAAATTATTTGATTCGGTAGAATTTGAGTCACAAAACAAGATAATGGTTTCAAATCCACTATGCCATAAAGACATAGAATGAGAATAAATGAAAACCAAACAACAGTAACACTACTTGTTAGAAAATAAAGGGTGAAGGAAAAGGAAATAATGGATGAGGCTAAAACTCACACTTTAAGTCTCATCCCCAAGTCTTGTAGAAAAGTACAGTATGACTTGCGTAGATATGCCTCTTTCTTTAAGTCAATTCCATCTATTTTAGATGGAGAATTTTCTTCAATTTCCTTTCTGGAAAAGTACCAACAGGCTCCTTCGTCTAGCTTGTCCTGAGTGTGTTTATAGGAACCAGCATCACTCAAACCATAGTTAGAGGAATCGCCAGACAAAAAGGAAGCCATAGGTATCTCTGTTCAGCACTTAATATAACTCTGACATAGACAGTTCATCAATGTTGAAACTGTGAAGACTAATCACCAAATTCCAGCAGCTTCCTGCACATGGATTATCAAGTCAGAAACAGTGGGCCGTATGAGCATCACAAAAAACTTCATAAAAAATAACATTGCAAAAAATAATGAGACACATTGGTTTAGAAAACTGTGACCAAGCACCCACCAAGTGATTTTTTCAAAAGGTCGGTTCGTTGGTCCTTTGAATCCTTTCTGTGGCTTCCTCTACTAAGAAATATCATGTATTGCTCCTTATATGGCTGAAAATCACTTGGGTATTATCTTAAAACTCAAATTCTCCCAATGAGCCAGGGGAAAATAAGGCACACATACACACACATGTTCCGCGAAATTATAGCAAGCAATTACTTTTCTGTCGAAGCAGAAAAGACCCAGTATCGAGTATGTGCAAGGTAAAAGATAACCTAAATTTCATACAATTAGATTACATAGGGATCGAAGACTACGATGCCTTCAACACAATTGAATACCGAAAAAGAAGAAAACGAAAACCAGAAAGCAAAGTTAAACAAGTGATTGTTACCTTGAATTGATGAAGGCGAGAGTCCCAGGGCAGGAAAGTGTCTACTTTTCCCAATTTGAACTTAGGGTTTTATACTGTGAAGCGAGCAAGAGGGAGAGACGATAGAGAATCGAGATCGATGGCTTTCCTGTTTTGTGAATTTTGTATTTTGGTTTCTTTTATTTATTTCTCCCTTTGCTTTTGGGTTTTGTGGGTTTTTCTTTTGGTTTGTCTATTTCCCTTTTTTTTTGTCTAAATTTTCTATTTTGTTTACAAGTGATCCAGTGGTAGCATATATAAGCAACCACGGATATATAATCATCATCATGATTTTATGCACGAGTGATTCTGCAACTTCCACCTAATTTGTTGGTCACTTTCAAAATAACTAAGATTCGAACTGATGTCCCTTCGATTGTTAGATTTCTTTATATTTCATCTAATTTATTATCACGTACATTTTGATCATTTTAAGTCTCATAGTCTCTCACCACAAGACTTGTCTTCTTCAGTTATGGAGTTGAAGAATGTTTCAAAATTAGAAGTGATTTGTCGACTCGACTGTCAATTTCACTAAGACTTGTCGAATTCCCAATATTGCAAATCATTGTGTAACCCTTTGGTTAATGGCCTGTTTGGGAGTGCTTCTGAAATGGCAAAAAGCGCTTTCTAATAACTAAAAGCGCTTCTGACAGCATTTGGCAAAAAAATTTAGAAGCGCTTTTGGGTCATAGAAGCGCTTCTTGGAGAAGCACCTGCTATGTGCTTCTTCAGGAAGCACTCCCAAGTGCTTTTCCACGAAGCAATTTAATTTTTTATGAAAATTCAAGATTTTTATAATAAAAGCGCTTTTGTTAGAAGCGCTTATAAGCAGAAGTACTTCCTAGAGAAGCATTCCCAAACGAGCCCTTAGAGCTTATGAGCAGAAGTACTTTCAATTCAATTTGGCCCTTCATGACCTAAATGAACCATGAAATGATCAATTTGCCCTCAAAAGTTCCTTACGGCAAATTGGATCAAATAGGTTAAAATCTGACAGTAGGGGGCACGTTTGCCATTTTCAATAGTTCGAATCTTTAATTTATTTTTTTATAATTAAAAAACATAGGGAAAACTGAAAATTACTTACAAATTTTAGGGGAAATTCGCAAAATACTCTTTATTTATCTATGACATAGAAATTGTGTGTTTTCACTTGATCATGCTTATATAAAATTATTTATCTAAAACCCTAAAAATGAGATGGAAATTTGTGTCATTGAGAAAGTTAACGAACTCCGCATAATCTTTAACCGTACTGATAAGAAGGTGAGGCCCAAAACGAAAGGTACCACATAATCCTTACAATACAACTTTATGCACCTACCAACTCAGTCATGGCATGTGCTTGCTGCTCAGATGGCCCCAGGGTTCAGTGGGTTGAGAAAGAGGGGGAGAGAAGGTCAACGCAAAGAATCATGGCAAAAAAAAACAAAACAAAAAAGGGAAAGTGCAAAGAAAAAGAGATGCGCAATTTGTAACCATTGAATATATAATTGATTGGATTCAACAATGTCAAAAGTTTCTTCCCCATTTAACCATTTCCCCTACTTGTATCATCACCATCAATAAATATAGTGTCCAAAACATTCTAAGAATTAGATGAGATGGAAAAGCACCTATTCAGGACTGATAAACCTCGCTCTCATGCCAATATATATCCGCAAAGGGAAGGAATACACAGAAGTTAGTCAAGACACCAAACCAACGGATTGCACTGAAATATCTTAGGGTGCCTCTGGGGAACATCAAAAAAGGATTAGAGCATACCAAGGACGCGGTCTGCGAAGAAATCACAATATACACTTGGACATGAAGAGAATTTGCACGTCATTAAATCAAGACCTCTCCAGCAACTGCAAGCAGTGCACACCACCTCAGACATGATTTTCCTGTACTTGCCTCTTGTGATCCATTTCTGTGTGTACAACCCGGCCAACCTCACTGTGATCTTCTGCATGATCAAACTGATTATGGTGGGCAGTTCCAGGTGAATAATCACACCGCTGCATCTTCTCTACACCATTGAGTGGAGGGCTTTTTCTCTTGCGGTCACTTGAAATGGGAGAATGATATCCTTGGCCACCATCAGCAAGTGCAGATACCTCACCTTCTTCCACATTGCTTAAATCAGTTCTACCATTCCTGGCATCCTCTTCTTGTTTTCCCTGATGCAGGTCCTCATTTTCTGATCTATTTGAGGACTTAACCCAGCTTTGACTCCCGTCTCCCTTGATTTTCTCACTCCCAGCAGCCAGTTCAATACCATCTTCCAGTTCCATCTCAATAAGATCATCCTCATCCATCAAATCTTTTTTCCGAGTCACATCACCCTGGGACTTTCTTCGTTTTTCCAGTGCTGCCTTCACCTTGTTTTTGTCAATCTTTTTTATTACATCCTGAGGTGACTGCCCAAGTGCACCTTGTCCATTTTCCAAACTTCGGCCAAATTGTTTGGCCTTCAATTCCCCTGCTTCTCTTGTGTCAAATTTCCCATTATCTTCTTGACCTTCTTCATGACGGCCCTCTGAACCAGATTTTGATACGTTTTGAGCATCTCCCATCTGCCCCTGGTGCAATGACAATGGTGCAGAGTGCTGATTATCTTTGAATTCTACATTCACATCGTGGTCTGAAGCATTTCTGATATCTGTACTTCTGTTGTCATTATTTAGACTTTGGGTATTTCTAGGAGGTCCATTATCATTTCCAACATCTAATTGCTCGGGTTCTGGCCTAGATGATGCAAGCTTCAAGGTTCCAGGTCTTGTATCACCACCCTGTAGATTACTGTTGCTTGTAGCATATTCTTCATTGCTCGTTGTAGCTTTCGATGGAGCCCGATGAGCAGCGCCACTTGCTGCAGTCCCTTCAACTTCATTGGAAGCTGGAACTCGATTTTGTTCGTATAGTTCCAACATTTGATTGCTTACTTCTGCATAAAACAATTGAATGCAATTAAAGCTGACACCCAATGTCTTCACAAAATATTTAACAATCTTCTTAATTTGTTTGAAACTTTGATTTTTGTAGTTCTTCCTCAAACCCCGAATCTATATAGAGAAACAAAAAGAATTAGAGGGACAAAAGTAAAAGAAAAATCTGGATTGATGAAGGATAAGTGTGGGGGTAAGGACACTGTTAATTGCTCTGTAGCATCACCTACTGAATTAAAACGAGGACACCCACCCTCCAATTGGCGTGGGGTGACGTCAAACTCTTGCCACCACACCCTCTCGCCATCTGATGGGAGCTTTACTTTTAGGAACTTGGCAGCAAGAAAAATGGCACCAGCTGCAATGTGGTGGGGTTTAAATTGCAAGCAAAGCGATGTCCGAAGTCTGCACGGCACATTCCAAGTTCAAGAAGGAAATGAAGAAAGGTCAAAAATGAGCAGCGTATATTAACTATGACAAGCATACCCATCATTGACAAAATTCCATGCAACTTGGGCAAGGGCATTTTGAGCTACTTGGAATTTCTTTATTGCCTCCACGAGAGGTTTATATGGATGGAGTACATTAAGATCAAAACCAAGAGTCCCAAGAACAACCCTCTCTCCAAGTAAAATTAATTCTTTCTGCTGTTCATACACCTCCTGCAGGATTTCAACTTGTATTATAACACGAATGACAAATTGGAAAACATAATTGAATACACAAGACATATTCTGGGATCATGAAATAGTATCGTTTACAGTTAAAAGCAAAAGTAAAAAGAAAAGGGAACAAAAAAAATATCAGTGTCCAGTCTAGTAGTATAGCAAGTTGCAACACAATTGTGCACGTCTGCCCCAACTGTAGGGGGAAAGTTGACATTTCCACATTCTATAACCATGGAGGCATGCAAATGCAGTTGAGAACTTGTGGTATAGTAGAGAAGCAAAAATAACGGTACGCATGCCATGACTACATAAAAAAATTATTATGAAGATCTGAATGAGTTCACAAAAGATAAGTAGCATCAATAGGAAAAATATTAACAAGTGAGGTAGAGGAATGTCATGCATAAAGGCACTGCAGTGAAACTACCTTTTGCTTGATCCTCTGTACTGCTTTAGGATCCTTCTTATGAATAATTTCATAAGACACAAGGATAACATCTTTTAGTGGCCGCGGAGTTTCTTCAACCTTCCCAGCAAGAAACATACAAACTGTTGCGATGGTCTGCGGCACATTTTAATTGAGTTTAGTGAACAGAATTTGATCATTTGTCCCATGAGAGTCTTACATTGATTCTCTCTTACTCTTCTTCTTACACCAAGATGAAAAGAAACCTAAATCTTCTACCTCCTCTTTATGACACATGCACACATGTACACCACAGGTGCACATATACAAAGGATGAAGTTGAACTTTGCAGCACTATAAGTAATTCTTGGGTTTTTTTTTCCATAAGAAACAAATTGTATGGTTATCTTCTCTGTGCTAAGTTCAAGAAATTAGTGTGGTGATAGATTGACTCCAGCAGAATCAATACACAGTTATTAACCTTAATCCTTTATCACCCATCCCATCCAAGAAAAACAGTACCCTAAATCCTTTAAGAGCGGACTTTGATGCCAAAATAATGGGAATTTCAAGAACATCATGGCATACTTGTCAGCCAATGAGGTTAATGTATCCACTCTAAGATCCACTACATGTATACAACCATTCATATGATAGACAACTGAATATCATTGGTCCAGTAATGAAAATAATCACTTATTCGCAGGTCTAACAAAAAGTACTCATTTAACAAATTACAAGAAACTCGAATTTGTGAATCAACTTATTCTCCCCATCACCTTGCACGCCATTAACAATATAATTACAACATAAGTTTGACAAATCTTCAGGTTTGAATAGGAATGGGTGAGCATTCATGCCAAAGCAGATGACACCAATTAGTTACAATTAAGACCCTAGTTGAATCCAGAAGTTGGCAGAAGTTGCAATTAAGACCCTAGTTGAATAGTAGTATAGCTAAAATTTGAAATCTTCAAACACGAAAACTCATAAAAAGAAGTTCACTAAGGCTAAACAGATGCACCAACAACAGCTAACACAACACATTAGGTATCACCCCAAGTAGAAAGTTGAAAGCTAACTCAGATATAGATACATAGACAAAGTTAGCCATAGGGGATGAGGGCATTCAAGTTTTCAATACTCACCCTTCTATCATTCTTTGCATGAGATTGACGAAGAAAGAATCGATGACAGAAAATTATGGATGTTGCAATTGTCAACTGGGGTCTGCATAAAGAAATATCCAGGATTGTTATCACGCTGAATCAATAAGTCAAAACAAGGCAAAAAAGAAAATATATCCAACCCTACTATGCAGTAAGAGATTAAAATGTTAGTTATGGTGGTTAATAGCCCTTCAACCCTACATGATTATTAACATTCGACTCAAAGTTATTTCTGTTTTAAAAATCATGCACCAATTAGATGGAAACTAAGAGCATGCTGGATACCTTCTGTACTAATGAGACTTAAAGATATACATAACAACCTCTCATGCCGTTTCAGAAAATATTACCACCGCTTTTGTCAGGTTGACCATACCCACAGAAGATTTAAATAATCCTAATTCAATTCATACACAAATGAGGATTAAAAAGGTACATTAAATATACAACGTGCCTAAGGTAATAATGTTCACACGTTGTCCAAGAGTTAATCCCAATTTTGAATTGCATTTCAACAGGGTTCTCTTTTTGCATTTGAGACTCTACCCAATTAAGCATTTGAAGTTCTAAGAAAGATGATTCTGCTTCTGCTTCTGTTTTTACTTTCACATCTTTAGGTGCTTCACAAAAAAATTTAAAGAATACTTTTATAAAGCTACTAATGCTTTGAACTTGTTTTTTTGACATTTTCACTCATATCATCATACTACCAATTAAACCTATCAACACATTACTCTTTCCTTCCTTTATACCGCAATATCACTTCTAGAATAGCATTTACCTAAAAACTACACTTACCTGCATAAACATTAACAAATACAATCAATTTATTTTTCACAACAGTTTTGGGGCACTACCAAATGGACCCTTAGTAATACACAAACTTTAAATCAATATAGAAACACTAAAAAATATGAACAATTCGCTTTGCAGTAATAACAGGATAAGCACAAAGCTGATAAAAAGTAGTGAGAATTTCATCAAACTTAGTTAATCAGATCATTGAAAAATTAAAGAAAAATGCAACGAACAAAACTTCATCAGGACTGTCCCCCATCATCTTAATCTTTTTAAGGTCTATATGAAGAATCTTTTTCTCTCGATGGAATTCCTGACGTTTTCAAACATCATCTCCAGTGCACGGAAGCAATCTAGGCCTCTAAATTTACATTGTTACACATTCTAATTGTCTTTTTGCCCTGAACTAATTAGAGACCATTGATGGAAAGAAACGTTCTAGTCAGTGACATTGGTCTTGGATAAATCTCCACGACCAAGACAAAAATGACGATGTGATGTAAAATTTACATAAATGCACTGGAAGCACCAAAAGAGATAAACTCCTCAGGAAACTATGCATCATAGAGAAATCCTCTCTAGAGGGACCTAGAAACTCCAGGAAAAATAGGAACATAAAAGATAGATATGAAAACTCCCTGAAATTTGTTATTGAAATATCATAATCCTAGTGCCCCTCATAGGCTACAGAATGACTTATATATAAGCCTACTATATGCACTCATTAAGGAATGTACATTCATAATGAACCAGAATTTATTAATGAGTGTAGATTATGTAAGCTCATAATGCATCAATAGTAGATATAAGTTCAATCGTGAACCAACTGTACAACACCATTACACAATCCAAGAATTCTCAGTTAACAAATTTTGAAAGAGAAATTGTTAATTCTTAGGGTTCAAAGGAATATTAGACTTTGAATTATTTGTAAATTAGAAAAAAAAAAGAAAAAACCCACACGAAAAATCTTTGGGTTTCAATCATAAACCGAATAGAGTTCTATTTATTTGTAAACCCGTGCAAGGGTCACATGCCTTTTTTCTACACATTGTAGCGTTCAAACACCTTCTACGGCAGCTTAAACACAGATTTTTTTTATTTGTTATATTTATAAAAGGTTTGGTATGGCTATAGAGTTGAATAGGGACTATTAAGGTTTATTATTGCTTAAAAGGTTTAACAGGATGTTCAAGATTTGGATCCCTAAATCCTGACTAAACGCTAAACTCTAAGCCCCAAACTATATCCAATAATGAATTAAAAAAACAAATTAATTGAGTGACACAAATTTAATTCTTACTAGTTACATTTTATTCTAGTATGGTATAGCAATCTTCTTGTTTTTCCTTTTTTAACAGAAGATGGAATCACAAACGATAGAAATAATACTTCATTGAAGATAAAGGGAAAAAAGAAAACAAAATTAGAGATAAGGCTAAAAAAACTCACACTTTAAGTCTCATACCCAAATCTTGTAGATAAGTACAGTATGACTTGCGTAAATATGTCTCTTTCTTTAAGTCAATGCCATCTCGTCTAGATGGAGAATTTTCTTCAATCTCCTTTCTATAAAAGTACCAACAAGCTCCTTCCTCTGGCCGGTCCTGCCCGTCTTTATAAGAACCAACATCACTCATTTCACTATGAGAGGATTCAGCAGGCAAAAAACCAGCCATATGTATCTGAGCTCTCCAATTTAAAAAAATTCAAATATAACGACTTGAGTGGTTGATAACAATAAAGACTAATCACCAAAGTCCACAAGCTTCCTGTTCATGGATCGCCAAGATGTGTCAGAAAGAGTAGGCCATAGACTATTATGTAGCAAGGTAAAATAAAATAAGAAATGAGTTGTAAACACAAAGTGAAAAACTAAAATCCATAAACGAAAGCATAGCATGCAATCATGATCATGATAGATTACAGAACTGTAAACTTCAGCAATGATTCAATTTCTAGCATTAAGGCTATAGAAGAAGACAAGATAAGCAAACACAATTGTTTTTTAACACACTCTACCTCATCTTCCACTAAATCTAACTTTCTTTCTTGTTTCCTTTTCCCAACTTTTTACTTTTTACTTCCATAGTGGAATTTACATCTTCATCTTCAAATTGAAATTTCCATTTCTCTAATACTCTTGTATATCGGTGCAAAAAGTGAAATTTGTGTCTTCCCAGTAAAGCTACTTATGATTCAGGTACAAAAACATGATGACCAAGAGAATGTCCAAATCTAATAATCCTTTAATTGACTTGCTTGATGAGGTCCAAATTGTGAAACTCATGTAACTTTATGTACTAAAGTTTTAAGATGAAAATGTCAGAGTTCTTCCAATCACTCTCAAGTCCTCCGAACGCTATCGTATATCTATACACTGCAGTGGAAAACAATGTAGGCCTCACCATGAACTATTTTATCATAAGCCATCATTCTCTTGAATTTACCAAAAGCTCAAAATCTATGACATGACAAGAACCACTTTCATTCATCATTGAACTATAAAAACTGTATCATATTTTTATCTTGGAAATATAACCAATTTATTACTTGTTCCACTTTCACAAGTTTGAAAGATATAGAATAACAAAAAAAAATTCATGTAGAAAGCCTTCTAGATATCTTTCACAAGTTTGAAAGATATCTAGAAGACTTTCTTAACCACTTCTTAGAGCTACCTCAATCATTCCCAAACTTCATCAATATACGAACAAAGTGAGTGGTCTCCTTGTTACTTCTTTGCTTACTACGAAATTCACTAATTCAACAAAAAATTGGAAACTTTTCAGTTATGATTATAATTAAACCACACACACACATATAATACCAGCAAAAGAAAACCAAACACAAACTCACGCGTATATGTGTATATTATTCAACATTTAATCCTTAAAGCCAACCCCACTCCTTTTTGAAGCCTATTCTTCGAAAATTCAATTAACATAAATAGAGCATCATCCTAAAACCCCAATCTTTCTCAGATAAAAACAAAACAAAAAACTATAGCAAAAGGTTCTTCCACACAAACAAAAGACAAAACCCATTTTTAAGTTTGTGTATGTGGGATTGCGAATGAGCAAATTTACGTAAAATTCTCTTAAACGGGTTCGAATTTCGAATGAGTAAAATATAATGAAATGGAGAAGCTAAGAGCTCGAAACCAAAGTTAAGAGATGTTATTGTTACCTTGGATTGACGAAGACAGCAGAACTAAGGCAAAAAGCTACCCAATCTTCCCAATTTGGATTTTAGGGTTTATGCTGTGCAGACTCTGGAGAGGGAGAGCGCGAGAGAAAATAATCGCTGTGTTTTTAAGACTTTTCCTCTTTTTCTTTTTTCTTTTTGCTTTTTTTCCGCTTTTTCTGATTGGTTTTACATGGTTGCCACGTAGGCACGTGCGGATGTGTGGGATCACATGGTTCTTAATTATTTCTTTTTTCCTGAAATGCTATTCTTCATAAATAAGTAAACTAATTACTTGTTAAACGGTTAGACTATTTTTTACTAATTATTTACGCTGATAATAATATTTCAAAAAACAAAAACCTAACTAGGGAGAAAATTTTGTCTATGGATAGACCGACCTCATTCTAAGCTTTTCCCCTCATACTGGTGTTTTTGAAAAGTGAAAATTTCAGATAGTAATTTTTTTTTTCCTTCATAAATGTATATTTGTTTGTAAAACTAAAACCAATAATTTTATACTTTATTAATTTCTCAATCCCTCTAGTCGTCTACCCGGCCTTTTGATCAGATATAACACTTAGAAACTTATATTTTCTTTGCAAGAGGATTGTAGCTCAAATGGTTAAGAGCAGTTATCCATGCACTCAAAGTTCTGTGTTTAAATCCCTCTATATGTAGTTTGTGAAACCAACTCAATTGTGTATCGATGGTAATTTTATATACAAAAAAGTATTAATAATCTATCATGCTAATTATGGTCTAGTGGTATTTACCTCAATTCCTATGTTCAAATTTCTCCACGTGTAGTTTGTGAAACCAATTCAATTGCATATCAATTAAATTAGCCAAGTGTATTCACTATTGTTTGATGAACTCATAAATGTTGTGACTAGACTTATTAAGTTGGATGAGTGGAGCTCGTAAAGGCTAGTTTGGACTCGACTTCAATTCATTTCAAACTGAGCCACCAAATGAGGTCGAAAATCACAATTCACAAAGGCCTCAGATAATCAAACCCTCCCACCCCTAACCTGGATTCAACTTTTTGATCCTAATCAAAGCAAGTAAATTTTGTTTTCTTAAGATGAATCAAGTGCGAGGGAATTGTGAGTTCAAGACATGAACTTTTTGCTGAAAATAGCATTCTGGATTTGCAATATATATATATTTGATAACAATGTATCAAATAAATATAATTTGATGGTGGATAAAAGGATCTATTTCTATCTTTGTTTCATTGATTTTAGATCATTTTCTTGGATTTTATGTTATACAATATTAATAGATTTTAAATTGTTTGCATTAAAGAAATTCTATGACGGATAAGACGATCTAAATGTATTAATAAATTCTAATGACGGATAAAGAAAAAGGATATCATGCGATTTGATGATTTGGTTGCGAAGCTTCTAATTAAATCAGCTAATTACGATTTAATTTACTTCCAGTCTAAAATTAATATTTTAAATATAATCACCCAACCAAAGCTCTCAATTTGTCGTGTTAGGTCGATTTACATGTCGGCAGTCACGTGTGACCCCACCCATATATATACATATAATTTTTGCAAAAAAAGTACAATATTTTTGAATTTAAACAAAAAAGGAAATCGAAATCGAAATCGCTGTCTCATACTCTCAGGCTTTGTAAATCACAATTCACAATCACTCAAACCCCAAACTTTCTCTCTCTGATTCAATTTTTTGGGGGGTAAAAATCATAAGCGAACGCTGAACAATTTTGTGAAATTTTGGACGGCTGAGATTGGCGGGCAGAGGAGGATAGCATGGCGTCGGCGCCGGTGAACAAGATCGAGCGGGCCCACCTGATGTACCGGGAAGGGAGGTACTCGGAGGCGCTAGGGTTTTACACGGAAGCCCTATCCATGGCCAAGACAAAGCCCCAGAAGATCGCTTTGCACAGCAATAGAGCTGCTTGCTTCTTGAAGCTTCACGATTTCAAAAAGGTTCGCGCTTTTTTCTCTATCGTTTTCTCTCTGCGTTTCTGTAAAGGAAATTCTCTATTTCTGAAATTTTGATCTCAAAGGAGTTGCTTAGAGCTAGTAATTTTGGTTTTCGAATGTTCAGTTCGGTGAGAGAGAGGAAATCGTGAGTTCAAGACACGATTTTTCTGCTGGAGATAGTGTTCTGGAATCTGATATGGACTTGAAGGATGAAAATATGGCTTAATTGGTTTATTAATTGACTTTATTTTGACTATATTAGGCGGCAGACGAATGCACCTCAGTGCTTGAGCTTGATTTCAATCACACTGGAGCTTTGATGTTGCGGGCGCAGACCCTAGTGACCCTCAAGGAATATCACTCAGCTCTCTTTGATGTTCATCGGCTGATAGAGTTAAATCCATCATCAGAAGTGTATCAAAACCTTCAAGCCCGTTTAAAGACACAAGTGGTATAATTCCTTTGTTCTTGCTGCTAAATTTTTCGTTGTTTTACAGTTTTTTGATACAGGTTTCTCACATTCTTATTTAGTACATTAGTTGAAGATTAGGGGCTGTTTAAGATTTTTTTTGGTCGAAAGGGGCTGTTTAAGATTGATGCATAAGTTTGCTTCTTTGTTCCTATCCGTCCTAAACCTCTAGGGTTTTGTTCGTTGTTGTTTGAAACACTTTTTTGAATTATAAGCATCATCATTATCATCATCATGTTTGCAATTATGAACACCACTGTTGCAATAAATTTACAATTATGAACATCATCATCATCAGCAGCTGTGCAGCAGGTGCTGAAATCATAAATTTGCAATTGTCAATTTCCTGGCTGTGAGTAAAGAGTTATTTTTTCTGCTTGAGGAAAGTCACTTGCTCCAATACCTGAATCCGAAGCAGAGCTAGAAGAAGAGGAAGAAGACGAGGATGAAGTAGAGCTAAATGGATATGAGGAGGAAGAGGAGCAATACAATGGATATGGGGAGGAAGAGGAGCAATACGAAGGACAAGAAGATGCAGCATTTTCAGGTGCAGTAAGGGATCAGTTTGCTGAGGTTAATAGGACGACTGCTGTTGCTGATGTTATTCCTCCCAAGACACCAGTAAACAGGGAAGTTCCTGAACAAGGAAGGGATCCAAAAGTTAATTACACAAAGACTACTTCCCCAGCTGAAGTTGCTGCCCCTCGTGCAGAACTCATCAAAGTACCGTCTGAAAAAGAAAAAGGATGGCAAGCAATCCCAAAACCCAAGGGGCACTCTTCTCTGGACTATGCACGGTGGGACACAGTAGAAGATGACTCTAGTGAAGATGATGACGATGACGATGATGATGAAGAGTCTCAACCTCAGTATAGATTCCGTGTAAGAACTGTTGGTGTCCGACCAGTTAAGTGAAGAGGCGGGAGACGAACAAATATACACAATACTCAAGATAGATAGCCATCATTATTGCTAAAACCAGCCACAAAGTCAATATCACAGTGAATTCAGGAGGGGAAAGTTCTTGTAGTTTCATATTCAAAAATTTTGAAAGCTATGAGAAAATTGGCTTCAACAAGCAGGTGAGCTTGGAAACATATCATTTGTAAGAAACAGGATTCTGCATTTTAGTTCTCTGGCTGAAGTTGGATTTATTGACTTTGTGCAGTTCCTGTTATGCTGCGATTTTCAAACAATTCATCCCATGACACAAAAATAAGTGGAGGCTCGGTCTGCAAACAGTTGAAATCAAACTTGTCCTGGCTGATTAGTGCTTACAGGGTCAGGTAAATTATTGGTTCTGTGATGTAAATTTTTATTGTAATGCTTGTAAGAAAATAATGAAACCTAAAAAGTTTTCGAGATTGCTACCATATTCAAGCAACTTGTCGACCAGAAAGATGATACAAACTTTTATTTATTTATTTTTTATTGTATTTTCTGGTGTCATGTGGACTATGTATATCGGTAATCGATGGCCTGATTTCTATTTTGTTTTTAAATTCAGAAACGAATAAGAGAATTTGCCTAAAATTGGTGAGGCAACCAACTTGTTAGATGTGTTTTGAGCCGCCACCCAATATGTCCATCCAAATAACAAGAAAACTCAATAAAAAAACCTAAAATTACATTTAAGCACTTTTTTATTTCTAGTAAACGGTTCTAGAACCTAGTTATAACAACATACTATGATATACCTAGAAAAACAAAGGTCAAAAGAAAATACAGAGTCCCCATGCCAACTTTTGCCATTTGAGCTACAAAAATACATCAGTGTCAAAAGAACTTAAGAAGCAACAGCTGCAACAATATATTATATGATGCAATTTTCTTCCTCCTAATTTGAATTAGTTGCATCAAGTACTGGCAAAGCTTGGTACAAGATCTCAGCTGCAACATCAAGCTCCTGCTCTGTTATGATCAATGGAGGCACTAGCCTCACAACGTTGCCTTTTCCAGCAGTCAATACTAGCAGGCCAGAATTTCTACATGCATCCACAAGGGGTGAGGCAGAGACATCCAATTCAATTCCAATAATCAGCCCGAAGCCACGTACTTCTCTAACATGCGGGTTCCCTCCCAGCTTCTGCTTCAAGATATTTTTGAAGTAGAGACCTTTCTTGGAGACGCTGTTCAAAAAATTTGGATTTGATATTTTGTTAAGAACGGCTAGGGCAGCGCTACAGACCAGAGGTGCACCAGCAAAAGTACTTCCATGGTCACCGAAAGCAATGGCGGAAGCAACTCTTTCGGTCACCAATGCTGCTCCAATGGGTAGGCCTCCAGCAAGTGGCTTAGCAAGTGTCATTATATCTGGGAATACACCATATGCCTCATGAGCCCAAAGATACCCAGTTCGGCCTAAACCACATTGAACCTACAGAAAAAATAGTGAAAGAAGCACAAACATAATTAATTGAGAGAAATTGAAATCATACATAAAATACATGTAATCAGCTCTATAATCTTGAACCCTTGAACTTTTTTTTTTTTTTAGGTGAGACCCAAGGGTATTATCCACCGCCGACAGTAGTGACTAATCCCTATTGCCGCGGGAGCTCTCCCAATGGAGGTAAACGGCTGGCCACAAAATGCGCTCCATTCCCAGAACCCTTGAACTTAAGTTGCACCAAAAAGAGACTAGTGGTATAATGTATACCTTTAAAAAGTATCCAAAAACTGCAAACAATGGAATCATTATATTGGGCA